AACTGTTTTTTATCTATAAAGCCACTAATCTCTGAGTCTTAAAAGAAAAAGGTAAACACCAGCTGCTAGTCTTTTGGTTGGCCTGGGAAATTTTTACCGTTTTTCTGGATTGAGGCTTTGTCCTTGAAGTCAGGAAGTACCTTGCTGGTAAGAGACTGCCTTTTAAAGTTCTTTTGATATTAGACAGTGCCACCGGCCACCTGGAACCCCTTGAGTTCAATACCGAAGGCATCAAAACGGTCTACTTGCCTTCCAATACAATGTCTCTAATTCAGCCTCTAGATCAGGGCGGCACAATGACCTTTAAGGCTAATTACACACAGTACTCTATGCAAAATATTGTTAATGCTATGGAAGAGAAGCTTGATAGAGAAAATACCACGAAAGTCTGGAAGAATTACACCATTGAAAATGCCATTATTGTTACAGAAAAAGCCATGAAAGCCATCAAGCCTGAAACAATAAGTTCCTACTAGAGAAAACTGTGTCCAGATGTGCATGACTTCACAGGATTTACAACACAGCCAGTAAGGCAAATCATGTAAGAGATTGTGGATATGGCAAAAAAAGGTGGATGAAGGGTTTCAAGTTATGGATTTTGGAGAAATTCAAGAGCTAATAGACCATACTAGAGGAATTAAAAGAAGATAACTTGATGGAGATGAGTGCTTCTGAACAAGTGCCAGATTGATGATGAAGATGTAGGTTGACACTCTGGTAAAAGGGTTCTGATTATTTGAGACTGCTTTTGACTTCTTTTTATGGCATGGGCCCTTATGTGATATGGGCAAATGGTGGAAGAGGGATTGGTACCATATAAAAATATTTTTATAGAAATGAAAAAGCAAAAGCCAGAAATTACTATGCATTTCTGTAAAGTTACACCAAGTGTGCTTGCCTCTCCTTCCACCTCTGACACCGCTGCCCCTGAGACAGCAAGACAAACCCCTCCTCTTCCTTCGTGTCCTCAGCCCACTCAACATGAAGATGATGACAAGGATGGAGACTCTTAGAATGATCCACTTCCACTTAATGAATAGTAAATATCTTTTATGATTTTCTTAAAATCACAATAGGTTGTTAAGTATGAAATGTGATTTTGAATCAAAAGTTAGTTTATTATATCTCAAACAAGAAGTAGTACAAGTAATCAAAATATGTGCCTTGACGACTGACACAGTTTTGCCTTTTTAACAGTAGCTAGTTTATGCCAGCAGTGAAGAACCCTGGAGAGCAAGTGATGATGAAAGGCGTTTACCACAGCTTGTTGAAAACTGAATGTTTTTCCCTGCAAGAAGTGGTCCAGAGCTTGCAAGAAGTGGTGTCAGTAGGTGAAGGGTCTGGTGAATATGGTAGACAGTTTCCAAATCCAGCTGCTGTAGTTTGAGCAGTGTTGTTTGTGCAACATGTGGTAGAGTATTGTCTTGCAAGAGGATTGGCCTGTCTCTATTGATCAATCTTGGCTGCTTCATCACAAGCATCTTCATCATTTTATTCAATTGGTTCCAAGACAAACTCATTAAAAAATAACACTACTTTTTGACTTATCCATGGTTTCTCAAAAAATGTTCCAAAAAAGAATTTAAAAGATAATAAGCCAAACCATGCGTTTCAAAGAATGAGGATGTACCTTCATAATAAAAATAAAACAATGTGTCAAAAGTGCAATGTCAGAGATATCAATTGTCCAACTTAGTACTTAAATTGGACCTTTCATACTTAGTAACATTTTCTTTCCTCTAGCTTACTTTATTGTAAGAATACAGTATATACTTCCTATAACATACAAAATGTGTTAATCGACTATTTCTGTTACCAGTAAGGCTTTCAGTTAAGAGTAGGCTATTAGTAGTTAAGTTTTGGGGGAGTCAAAATTATATGTGGATTTGACTGTGTAGGTCAGCATCCCTTACACCTGTATTGCACACACATATACACATATGTATACACACAAACACAAATGAGTTTGTGCTTTTTATGCTATACACACACATATATCGCACAAACATGTTTGCGAATGCTTAGAGAAAATTTAAAGTACACCGCTTTTTTTTGAGACAGGGTCTTGCTCTGTCATCCATGTTGGAGTGTAGTGGCATGATCACAGCTCACTGCAGCTTCAAATTCTGTCTCAAGTGATCTTCCTGCCTCAGCCTCCACGTAGCTGGGACTACAGGTGCTGCCACGCCTGGCTAATTTTTAAATATATTTTTAGAGATAGGGTCTATGTTGCCCAATCTGGTCTTGAACTCTTAGGCTCAAGTGATCCTCCTGCATAGGCCTCACAAACAGTTGGGATTATACATGAGCCAGTATGTCCAGCCACAGCAACTTTTTAAAATGTAAGCCCCATGAATGCTTGCTCTTTGATGTGCTAGTAAAATCTACTGACACATAGGAGAGTCTATTTATTGAAGGGCAAAAAACACACACATACACACAGGCAAATTAGTAGGTACTTACTTTGTGCTCAACACCTTACTGAAACATTTTACCTGTCATCGAACCTGTTATCAAAACTTAATGTTAAGTCCAGAACCAAGTAATTTTTATGCAAAGTTCATAAGGGCATTTTTACAATGAACAAAAATGGCCATTAGTTATATGTATATTTTTTTCCTTGACTGATACTAGTAATCCATAGTGGCATCATCTTTCAAGGTCAAAGGGTAGAAACAAAAAGTGGTAGAAAAAGTGAACATTAACTACTCACACAATGGATGACCTTGAAGAAGCAGAGTAAATAGTAAAAAAATCAGTGTTCTTCAGAGCTTTGTATGTTCTAATCAGTATTTTTGTGGGGCCTCTAGTATCAATGATTATGTCAGCAGGAAAAAAATGCAGTATCCTTTGCTCTTATTAGAAGACAATGATGCTGAGATGAGTTGATTTTGGTGGATCAACACCTTTATTCACAACTTACTAAATATGTATCCCTTAATCCTTTGCAAATTTAATCTGAAAGAATTACAAACAAAGCAACAATGATGTGAGGGGCAGTGTGACACAACTGAAGAATCCTGTTTTCTATTCCTTCTTTTAAGGAATAGAACCATCTGAGGTATGCTATCTCAAGAACTCAGAAATAATACCACTGCTTTCAGTACTTCCAGGCTTAAGTAAGGCATTCAAATGTTTTGGTTCCTTTCTTTTTCCTTACGGTGGTTTAAAGAAATACAGGGCATGAAAATGCCTGACACATTATAAATGTTTATTATTAGCTTCCTATCTTTCCTACCTGGGTTTTTATATACTAGTTCACTAGGGCACAATTAATAACCATTTTTAACTGCTGGATTATGTAATCACCTAGAAATCTTTATTTGCTATTAATGTGGTTTGGTTAAAAGTCTTAAAACAAAGAGTGAGTATTAATGCTGTCTCCATCTAAGAACTTTTGGACCCTTGGGTTACTGAAGAGGGAAACATGCAGATCTTAACATCCTTCTCATTTTTACATTGCCTGAGTAATGTATGCAATTTTATATAGTTTTGTATAATTACAGTTCTATTTGTTATAGATTGGAACTTCTGATTCATGGAATTAGCTCCTAAACATAAAGGTCTATCTTGCTATTGATGTCACTCTTTGGTACTTTCTCCATAAATCTTCACCATTTTGTACTAACAATAATCCTCTTTATATTTCTCTATATTTTTTCCTGCCCTATACTTGGCATTTCTATAACAGTGATTACAGAAGAATAAATAATTAACACTTGGCTTAACCTGATCCTCTAGTTTCAGTACTTTTTGACTGCAGCTTAGAAGTACCAACACCCCAAATCAGGGGTTGGAAACCACAGCAAGTGAGACAAATTTGGCTCTTGGCCTGTTTTTGTAAATAGTTTTATTGGAACACAGCCACCAACATTCATTTACATACAAAGGCTGCTTTTGTGCTACATGACAGAGTTGAATAGTTGCAACAAAGAACATATGGCCTGCAAAGCCTAATATAGTTAATATCTGGGCTTTTACAGAAAAAGTTGTGGACACCCTGTCTAAGTTTAGTATTGGGAGGTCTCTATGCTCTTTCAATGACAGATGCAATTTAACTACTGTAGTCTCTAAACTTAACTGAACATTGAGGGTGGCCTGATCAGATGTCAAATAAAAGGGCAATATACAGTATCTTTTATCTTTTTACCATTCCTTGAGAGTAGAAACAGAAATTTCTATTATCTGAGTTTTACTTCAGCAACCAAAGTGAAAAATCACACCACTTCTGTGTAAAAGAGACTCTATGAGGACTTTGTACTAAATACCATGGGTATCCAGTAAACAGTGTGTGTGTGTGTGTGTGTGTGTGTGTGTAACATTTGGAGAGGCATTTATTAAATCCAACTTATACTCCTATTTAGTGTCTGTATAGTAAGTGACTAAGGAGCCACTTTAGGAAATCAAGGGACTATAGCTTTATTTGTAATAACCCTTAACTGGAAACAACCAAAATATCCTTCAATAGAAATATGGCTAAACAATATGGAATACTATTCAGCAACAAAAAGGAAGAACTACTGATATATCTGATAACTCAGATGGATCACAAGGGGCATCATGATAAATGAAAAGAGCTAATCTCAAATGGTTACATACTATATAATTCCATTTATATAACATTCTCATAATGACAAAATTATAGACATGAGCAATAAAAATTAGTGATTGCCAGGTGTTAGAACTGATAGGGATAGGTGTGGCTACAAAAAGTAGCATGAGGGACATCTTTGTCAGTTGTGTATCTTGATTGAAGTGTTGGTGCTACAAACTACACATGATAAAATGGCACAAAACTACTTACACACATCGTACCAATGCCAATATCCTGATTTTGATATTGTACTACAGTAACTCAAGATGAAAAAATTGGGGGAAACTGAGTTCAACCTACATGGACTTACCTCTCTGAATTACTTTTGCAACTTCCTTATTTCAAAATAAAAAGTTAAAAAAACAGACACTTGCTCATATAAGAAAATTCACAGCAAAATAAAATGCACCATTGCCAATTTTATTCAAATTCTCCAAAATTTATATTCAATATTTAATTATTTCTAAAATGTATGTTACCCTTCATTATAATGGTTTTAATATTTCATCTTTCTTTTATAGTTTTTTCATCTTTTCTTTACAGTTTTTCAGTAGAAGCCAGAGTCTTGAGTTGCCCAGTTAGGAGCCTAAAATATACAGAGAAAAATTGACAGGGTGAAAAGAAAATACTTTCTAAAAAAGCTAACATAGAAAAAAGTGACACAGCATTTACTTTAGCACCACTCCTGTCAACCCAGTCTAAGATCTTAAATTCTATAATTACTAAATGTCAGATGCCCCACATAGAACAAAACGAACACATTAAAATGTTATCTGATATATCTTTAGGCCAATTACACAATATAACAATTATAGTATTACCAATATTGGAACAATAATCAATACAAATTGATCCTGAAGCATACAGAAAAAAAACCCATATAAGTTATTTTCTAGGCTCAGCTATTCTAGACGTGGCTGGAATATGCAATTCCAATTCTAATGAGTCTTTCTCTTTTGAAACTAAAGGACACCAATATGTCCCTAAAATTTCAATTGGATGGGGTCTTTGAAAGCCCCATAACTGCTTCCTAATGACTTTGTACCTTCCAGTTACACATAATCATAAGGTCTAAACAGCATTAAAGACAGTTTAGGATTCCAAAATTATAAGGCCATTAAGTTCCTTCAACATATAATATGAAGGATCTGTATCAAAAGGGGTGATTATTTTGATATGAACATCAGAAATGAAATTTGTGTAAGATCAGCACTAATAGATATAATAAGATCAACGGTTTTATAAAACTATTTCTTTAGATTTAGAAAAAACACACATTTCAAGCACTTGAAAGAGGGCTACACATGTAAGTTATCATCTGCCAGTATCAAAATGATGTGTTGAAAACCCTGAGGAAATGAGTTAATGAAGTCACACAGGAAGAGTAAAAGGAGAAGAAAAATTGTTATAACAAATGAGCAACACAATTTTTTTCAGATTCCTTGACTAATGCATAGAATACATCTAAGAAAAAATTCATTGCAGTTTAGTAATTTCTTAAACAAAATGTTCATACCTTTAAATAGCAGTAAAAATCAGGTACAACTGATACTGATATAGTTTCAAAAAAAAAGTCATGTAACAATTATGTTATGTTGTTCCTAAATCCCAGACAGAGTAGAAAATGTTTGGTTCTTACCTCTGACCTACTATTCTGATTAAGTTTCTTCTCAATATTCATGGCCAGTATCTGGCTTCTAAAGGAAAGGCTTTTGGTCTTTTCAATCACTTGCTGATAGGGTGAGACTGCATTGTTACCCATAACCACATGCCCCTAAAATGAAACAGAAGGAAATTGATCCTATAATGATAATGACTGAGTTTCCCAGGTAATTAATGAGCATGATATAACAACACTACATGAAAAATATTTTTATACACAGTATAGAGATGACAACATTTATCTAGCAAGAAAAGAGATGTTGCTGTTGTCTTCAAAGAACTATTATACATTAAAACAAATTCTTAAAAAATAAAATGTCATAACTAAAAAATTTTAAAAATTCAATAGCATAACTAACATAATACTCACTAATTTAGAATCAATCTTGGCATCCAGTCTTGCATTTCTGATCAAATTCACAATCCACCTTTCAGCTTCTTCAGGAGTCATGTTCAGTTTATCTGCCAACATGCTAATGAAAAAAGTAAAAACAGTAATGTTAGTTAACTGGGCCTCAAAATCTAGTTTTATGTATCTGTTTGATCCACACTCTACATAGAGAATTTTAGGTATTTCTCGATCACCCTCTCTTATATAACAAGACCCATATTATCTACATTGCTCCTATGTTTGTGTCTCTTGTCTTGTATTATACATGATCTATATCCCATTTTACCAACCAACATGTAAGATCCTGGAGGGGAGAGTACCATATTCTGCATTTATGAAAATCTTTTCAGCTTCTAGAACACACTTTACACCAGGTGCTCAGTAAATAATGATGTAAAGGAGAAAAAGGTTTTATAATGTACAGTCAGCCCTCTGTAGTCACAGGTTCTGCATCCATGGATTCAACCTACTACAGACAGATAATATTGGGGTGAAAAAAAACACAATAAAAAATAATAATACAATTTTAAAAAGTAAATAAAAATGAATAAAAAAAAATACAACAAAACAACTATTTACAAATTATTTTTCTGTCCAAGGACTGACTATATAATGATTATACAAAGTAAACCTACTACGAGGAGCATCAGCAATAAGTATAATCTAATGAAAACTCTAAATAAAACTCAGGGCTGCTGTGTATATTTGTGTTATTAACTCTAGGGACACCCCCTAGAGTTGTATACTTCATAACTTATATAACCACTGAATTTTAGAGAAGCAAGAGGGAAGCCATACTGTGAAGACCCCAATCTAAAATACTTTTTGACATCAACCAATCTGCATTTTTTATTTTTCCAAATTATGATCAGGTTGAAGAGGGCTGTTGCTGCATTTAATTTTTCAGGACTAAAAAGCAAGCACCACCTGTGGTAAGCAGGGTAAACCAATCAGTCAGCTGATGAAAGAATATCTATGTATGCACCTATAATACTTAAGAGTATATATTTAAAAGTGTATAGTACATACGCATACATATATGGGTATTTATACATAAACATCAACTGTCCTTTATCTTCATTAAAGATATCACATACTGCCCAGCCTTTTAATATAATCACTGATTTGATGAAAACTAGAATATCATCAATAAAATCATTCCTTAGATTATGAACTAAAATTTCTGATAGCAATCCCAACTTTAATACATAAATATTCAAGCCATTAGTGACTATATAATTAATTATTTAATTCCAGAGCTCCTAATCCAAATGTAACCAATCTAGTTAATAAAAATACATTTAAGGAAATAGTGTAATCTCTATGCTATCCCTATTTTATATGTCTATTGACAATGAGTTCATAGAATTTTGTTGAAAATGTAAAAGTTAAGTTAGGCTACCAATATAATAGTGCAAAACTAAATCTATGAAGACAATTATTTTAAATTTAAGAGAAGCTTAAAGTTAAAAACAAGATAAATATGGAATACAGCCAACTAAACCATAAAATCCTCAGGATTTGTGTCAAAAACATGTTCTTTCTGTGTTTTACTTTTTCTTCACCAAGGCACCCTGTATCAATGTTCTTTGTGTTTTTATAACCAATTTTTCTATACACACACATTCATAGCAAACATAAGAAATAATTAATCCAAGACTATTACTTCACATGGACAAATTTTATTCTCTATTCTATCACTACTGTCTAAATAAATCCCATTTTTAAAAAGCCACTAAAAATAGGAAAACATGCCATTTTACTTAAACAAGAAGTCCTTTTTTTTTTTTAATTCCTGTAACTGGTGTTTCCTATGGCCCCCAATAAACTCTTTGTGTTTCCTGCTGAAGTTTGACTATAGAAACAAGTAAATTTCATTCCCATTGGCATTAGCAAAGGAAGTATATGCCTGATACTTTTACCTGAAGTTGCTAATCTAAAGAATAGATTTTCCAAACATACTTGCAAATGAAACAATCTGTACAAAACATATTAAAACTCTAACCTTCAAGGTATCTATATTCTGCTTTTCAAAAGTAGAAACATTATTTCCAGATAGCAATTAGTTATATATTAATATACATTTGGTATCATAAAAAATTATAATGAAACATCCAGTCTTGAAACTTATCTGATTCTTTTCCAATTGAGAAGTCCTATCAATTTCTTTTCTTTTTTGGGGGGGGAGTAGACGGGGTCTCGCTCTGCCAGGTAGGCTGGAGTGCAGTGACACACAATCATAACTCACTGTAGCCTCAAACTCCTGGGCTCAAGGGCTCAGCTTCCTTAGTAGCTGGATCTACAGGCATATGCCACAAGGCCCAGCTAATTTTCCTATTTTTAGCAGAGATGGGGGCTCACTCTTGCTCAGGCTGGTCTCAAACTACTGAACTCAAGTTATCCTCCACTTCGGCTTCCCAGAATACTAGGATTAGAGGTGTGAGCCACCGCACCTGTTAATACTAAAAATTTGTAGGCAGCTTAGAGTAAACATTTAAATGTTTTCTGTAAATCCCTTACACACATCTCTAAGCTGACTAGTTCTGTTCAACTGACACAAAAACATGGTATTGAGTATGTTAAATAAGATATGCATAGAATCAAGTGCTATTTCAAAAGCAAAATTATTTCATCCTCAGCTCAAAATCTTTAAACATGTTCATGTTTCCAGCACAGAATCATATACATTTTTTAAGTTTCTGAGCAGTCAATAGCACCAGTGGCACCAATTAAGGACATACAATTATCTAAATATAGGTAACCAATTAGGACTTCATAGGCTCTAGCCAGGGGTCCTCAAACTACGGCCCAAGGGCCACATGTGGCCCGCCGAGGACATTTATCCGGCCTGCTGGGTGTTTTTGCCACCGCTGCCTGTCCTGCTTAGCAGCCGACTCGTCCTGGGCCCACAGTGCACATGTGTGGAATGTGCGCCGCAATCTCCAATGGCCCTTCAATGGTCTGAGGGACAGTGAACTGGCCCCCTGTTTAAAAAGTTTGAGGACCCCTGCTAGGCTGATATTTTTCTTTTCTTAAACTTCTTTTTTTGTAGAGACGAGGTCTCACCATGTTGCCCAGGCTGGTCTCGAACTCCTGGCCTCAAGTGATACTCCCACCTTGGCCTCCCAAAGTGATGGGATTACAGATATAAGCCACTGTGCCCAGCCAAGTTGATTTTCTATCAGGTTTCCAATGCCTAATCTCTAAGACAGTGGCCCTTCTCTGAACCCTCCCATAGCCACCAACCTCTCCCCACCTCACACCTCCATCTTAATAAAGATTTGAGAAAATAAGGATTTGGGGATACTACATTTCACATGTCTTATTAATTACATCTTTAAATAACTTGGCTTTCCAAATTTTATTTGATAAGCACATTTTATTTCAAAAACTGCTGATTTAAACATTAAGATATGGGAATCTCTGGTCACCACAGGCCATACTCAAAGAAAAATACTCCAAGTCTTTCTAAGAGTATGCTAAGACAAGAAACTAAAGAGTAAATGTTAAGTGTAAACTGTATTTAACTATGAGACTGGGAGGAAATAGGAACAAGAAAACAGGATAAAACAGAAACAGTAAATGCTACATGTGACAACTGAAAATTCTTGCTGAATTTTCCAACATCTCTTTATAACTTTATAGTTAACATAATCTTATAGTTAATGCAGAAATGCAATGATGATGGCTTTGGAAACTATTTATTACCATCTGGAAACATATCTTTCTATTTCTCTCTACTATCGGTAAGTATAATTCTAAATATAAATTGTTATGTGGTAATAAGAACTTTAAGAAAACTATTAAGATCTTTGTTACTTAATAAAATAAGCAAAGTAGAATAACTTCCTAACTTAAAGAAATGCAAGGGTAGTTAGCAAATACCTTCTTCTATGAAAAGCCAAAACTAACCCCCTATAAGGAAATTGTATTAATGTATGCTTCAACATGTTTATCATACACACTCAAAATATTACTTCCATACTTTGTTTTTATCTGCAATTGAAAACTGGTCCAAGAATTATTTCAGAACAGCTTTTAAATTTCAGACACATACTGTATCTGATAAACTATTCAGCTATATTAAATTAAATCCCACCATAGTAATCTTTTCTGACAGATGTTGCACACTTTATGGTAAACAGATTTGTAACTTATCCTACAAATCTACAGAGTTGTATATAAGCTGTTAAAAAACATTCTTAATATGTATTTTTATAAAGATATGGCTATCACATGTGCTTACAGTCATTTAGTCAGGAAATCTATTAACAGAGAATGTTCCAAATCACAAATGAAAAGAGTTGTTTAATAAATAACCATGGGTTGTATACTATTCTATTTAGCATTTTAAATGTATCCTTTGGGGAAAGAATAGGAGGCCAGAGATACATCCTTTCTCTTTGGCCTAAAAAAGACAGAATATCAAATAACTTTACACTAATTAGAGGCAGAGACAGGCCAGCATAAACTAGTGAATAGAATAACTTCTCATAATTATTAGTAGTATTCAGTGGAAAAAAGTCTAGTTTGAGGATTAAAGATACTCCATTTAGAGAGTTATCAGGGTTCAATGTATCTTCTACCTAAATTACTTCTCTGGTTTTCAATGTGCAAAATATGTCCATGTCATTCTCTATAATCACTCAGCACTGTATTTCAAAACACCTATCATAATTTAATATCTGTTTTCTACCTCTGGATTTTAAGCTCTTTGAGAGTGTGCTCAATATTTTCTACCTAGTGTCTGGCCAGAAGAGGCACTCAGTAACATTTATGATGTTTTCTTTGGACAGCAATACTACTAGTTATGTTGCTATTAATTAATTATATCTTAATCATGATACATAGCATTATTTGCCCTCTTTAGAAAGCTGAAATGTTTTGCACATTCCTAAAATGACACAATACAGAACTGGAGAAGGGATCATATGACTGGTTGCCAGGGATTCAAACGAGGGACTGGAAGGGAAGTGGGTACCACTATAAAAGAACAACTTGAGGGATTTTTGTGGTGATGGAAATGTTCTATACCTTGAATATATTCAATGCCAATGTCCTGGATGCTATATTTTAACATAGTTTTGCAAAGCATTACTAATGGGAGAAACCTAATAAAGAGCACAGGGGATATCTATTATTTCTTACTACTGACCTATAATCATCTTAAAAGTTTAATTTCTTAAAAAAAATAAGCAAGCTCTTGCATGAGAATCACTGGGGACCTTTTAAAAATACAATTGCTGGTGTCTCCCTCCAGAGAATGTTTTTGTTTTTTAGGGGTTAGACTCAGTCATCCATTATTTTTGTTTAGTACTTTTTAACACACTGACTGCCACATTCGAAAAAAAAAATGTTTTCCCTGGGGCCACAGTGTTTTATTAAAACAAAATGGTCCTTTCTAATTTGTTATTTTTTATTGTTTTCTGTGTGTATTATATGCAACACAATCCATGTTTTTAGAATTAAATTGTCAATATTAATTGTGACAATGAACATCAACAAGTTAAGATTTTCATGAACCAACTGTAGGATTTTGCTTCACGAGGCCCCAGGCTCAAAACTAGCCTGAGTTCAATACAACTTGCATGGCAGTCAATGTGTTAAAGCTTCCCATTTGATTGTAATGTGCTGCCAGGACTACAAATCACTAATTTAGAGCAGTGATTCCCTAAGGCTGACCACAAACAAATCACCTGGGAAGCTTTAAACCCAGATTCTCAAGCCTTGATCCTAGAGATTTCTGATTCAGAAGGTCTGGGGTGAAACCAGGAAATCCATTCTTTTTAAGTTTAAGTTGTTGTTGTTTAACTTTTCCAGATGGTTCTGATGTACAGCTAGGTTTAAAATCTCTGGATTGTAGAAGAATTATTATTTTTTCTATGTATTGTTTAAAGGTAATTACTAGCTCTGTTGGTCATTATATCATGGATTCCAAGTCCTTGGAGTCTGAATCAAGATGTCTGCTGTATTTATAAAATCCCAACATAAATACTTAACATTATTTTCAGTCACTATATTTCTAACCCATTAAAGAAGCTTTAAAAACATGAAGAAGCTGACCTTCGTAATTCGTTATATACTACAGGTATTATATCATTAATTTTTCACTCCATCACAGCAGGCTGTAATTACATGCCTAAAAAATTGGCAACCTAACAGTGTTTTCTGATTCTAGCTGTGCTTTGGCATAATCATTCCCCAAGATCCAAAGAGTACAGTGGCCCTGCCACACATCACTGCATAGCATACTCAGTAAATCTGATTCAGAAATTTAAAGTGGCTATAGGAAACCTGTATTTGACGGGGAAACAACAACAACAACAGACTCTATATGAGACACATAGTTAAACAATGACTTAGGGTTTTCATCGTTATTCTCTGGCTCAACACTAACAAATTAGTCTAAATCTAATACTTCTGAAAATATAAATTGTTCATGAAAAGGAATTTATAGTGAGGCACAGTACAATGAATGCTGGACACCTACTAGACAAGGGTCTGTCATTAAATAAGATCTAAGTAGCTTAATGCTCCTTAGACTTAAATTTCCCAGGTATAAAAATAATGAAGCTGTTCTAAGGGAATCGTGTGCAAAATTATGTTTCCAGAAGTCATAGGGTTCCAAAGAGGTGTCTTAGTAGACAGGAGAAAAGTTGAACAGAGATACAGGATAAGTAGGGTGAAGGATTTCTACTCTGATCTGCTTATATACATAAATAAATACATCTATGTATATATATATAAAATATTGCATTTGAAAATAAGTCCTACTGTTTACACACATGCACAACAGAGATTTGAAAGCCATGGCTCTAGATCTTGAAATGGGAACCATCTTTCAAGTATACCATACTTTAAATACATTTCCATCCCTGCAAGAAGTTACTGGAAAGTCCTAGTCTAGATGATTCAATAACTATGTGTGTTGTTGGATTAAAAGGTCCTTAAGATTTCTTACAGTCAAAAATTCTACCCTAATAATTGAAGAAAACACATTACTAATCTATGTATTCTTTTTTTTTTTTTTTTTTGAGACAGAGTCTCACTTTGTTGCGCAGGCTAGAGTGAGTGCCGTGGTGTCAGCCTAGCTCACAGCAACCTCAAACTCCTGGGCTCAAGCAATCCTGCTGCCTCAGCCTCCCGAGTAGCTGGGACTACAGGCATGCGCCACCATGCCCGGCTAATTTTTTTTCTATATATATGTTAGTTGGCCAATTAATTTCTTTCTATTTATAGTAGAGACGGGGTCTCGCTCTTGCTCAGGCTGGTTTCGAACTCCTGAACTCAAACGATCCACCCGCCTCGGCCTCCCAGAGAGCTAGGATTACAGGCGTGAGCTACCGCGCCCGGCCTAATCTATGTATTCTTAATCATCTAAGTTAGTAAAAAAGGTAGCCAGAAAAAGTCTGAACAACCTTAGTGAAAGGAAATACCATCACTGGAAGAAAAAAAAAATTCCAGACTTTGGAAAGCCACTAGAACTTTAGTCTCAAAATGCTTTGGAGACTTTATCAAGCAGAAAACTATAGGGGTCAAAGAAAAAAATAAAAATCTAAACCAAGATAGGTAATGATAATACCACATAAAAGTTTACAGAAGTATTCTTACTCTATAACTTCTTTGAGCTGCACATCTCTTGAGTAGGCAGGCCAAATACTTAATCTATTTTACTGTTAAAAATAAACTGAATCCCAGGAAACAAAATAATGAATCCATGGCCCCAGAGTTAATAAAAGAAAAGAGCTAAATTAGAACAAACCTTCTTATACGCAGTAACTAGAGGCAAACACTGAAGTAAAAAAGTTATCATGGACAAAAATTCAAGTGTACTAATGCTAAGAACAAAAGAAATTTATTTATATAACAAATATTTATAGTATCCTCAAACTATACTGTACAAACCATGTTAGTAGCAAAGTTAGTATACTAGGTGCTAAAGATACAAAAAAGAGAGTCACAGCTTTCAAAAAGCCCAACAGGGGTGGTTAAATAAGTTCTGGACCATGAATTCTAATGAGAAATGGGGAAAATTTCACATGGGAAACCAAAATACTAACATCCCTCTTTCACAAGCCCTAATTACAAATATTAAAAGCAAAGAACAATGCAAGAATTCAGTTACCTATTGTCCACCAGAGTCCCAAATATGACGTACTCACTTCTTTATTTCACAACCAACTACATAATAGAAATTTGCATATATTCTTTAAGAGAATCAGATTTTTAAAATTATGTCTGCAAGCTATAGTAGAGTACTAATAAAACTAAAGCCAAAGATTCAATTCTCATAGGAAAAGCATATGATTACACTATACTTCTAACTCTGGACAACCACTTCAATGGCAACCCAGTAAAGTTAGGCAAGCAAATATGGATTAGCAAAAACAAATGGCATTAAAGAAAAAGAATTTGTTTTACACACAATTCCTCAGAGGCAAACATTAAAGTAGTAAGTTTTTAAATGTTTATGTTTGACTTCATCTGTGACCACAGGATGCTAGTTATTTTTCAAACTCTAATATGTACAATTAGTTTCTAATAGGTTATGTACATTTCACAATTTTTTCCTAATAATTTTTTCACAGAACAGAGAAAATTTCAACTAAAATTCATAATTGTTCCATGTTTCAACATTTCAGGATGTCATAGGAATTTACTATATGAGAATTCAAATACATAATTAAATAAAACAAACTCAATGGAAATGATTACCAAATGTAGTGGTCTTTCAACAGAATTTCTGATTTACTGGCTATCTCCTTAATTTGAACTCCTCTTGAAAACCATTTTAAAACCAGTTACTTCACTTTTCTCCCTATGTAATGTTACAATAGTATTAATTTACTCTTTTAAAAAGTAACTGATAATCGTATACTATCCTCAGCTTAGTATTTTGAAAAGTCATCCTGTGTCACACATGGAAGCCAAAAATGCTTGAGTGTGTAGCATCCCATAATTCAAAAAGAGTTAGCTTTTTATCATAAATCACTATCAAATTGTTTCCTTTTTCTTCTAAAAGCAAAAGGGAAATAAAATAAAAATCCAATTAACTGGAATCTTATTAAGTGTAACTTTACAATAAATCGAAATTTCTAGGAATTTATAAGTATAATAGAAAATATAAATCAAATCATAGCATTCTTACTTAATGCTAATACACTGGTGGATGCGACAAAAAGTCTCAAATATGAAGAGACGGGCATTTTCAATGAAATCCTCAAGACAAGCCACCAAGAAGAAGTCATTCACAAGTACCTATATGTATAAAATACAAAAAAGAAAAAAAATTATGAAGCTGACAAGCAATTTTCAGAAACCTAACTCAAATATTTTGTCTGCTTTAATGTTCCATTCAGTGTAATTCTGTCATCATGAGTTCTACACCACAGTACTTTCTTGAACATGATGTTCAAGCCTTTAATAATTTACAAAAGCAATAAAAGAGTGCTACCAAAAAATGACCTAAAAAACTACAATGTTTTCTTGTTCTATCCTGTGCATTATCCTCTGTATAAGTGCTCTGTAGGTAACATATCTTTTCCACCTATTTAAAATAAATAGTTATAAATGGACTAAAGACATGAATATTTCTCTGACATTATTTCTAAGTAGACTTAGAAATTACAAAGGAAATGAATGTAAGAGGTGGCTCCTATTCCATAGATGTTATAACTAAAAGAGAATAAACTTTAAAAACAGCAACCAAGTGCCCTCTGGCTCTTCTAGATTTATAGCAAGGCCTAGATCATGAGTCCTCAAACTTTTTAAACAGGGGACCAGTTCACTGTCCCTCAGACAGTTGGAGGGCCGGACTATAGTTGTAAAAAAACTATGAACAAATTCCTATGCACACTGCACATATCTTATTTTGAAGTAAAAAAACAAACAGGCAAAAACACCTGCATGTGGCCTGCGGGCTGTAGTTTGAGGACGCCTGGCCTAGATACTGAATGTAATGAATATATACCAATATTTACTTTAATAATGTCACACATGACTACAAAAACACCTATTACCATATTGGATTCTAATTTTCTATTTTGCCTAATGTTTGAAAATCAATTCTGAATGTGTATTTCATTTTTTTCTTAGAAAGTCAAGTCTGTCAATAAACAGACTATCTTAGTCTATCAACAACTTTGCCTATTTTGTGCCAAATTTTTAGTTCAAAAGATGAAATTGATGACTAGAAATTTGTGAATCTGGTAAATGCAGCTACATTTGGCAGATAAATTCTCAGTTTAATTACTTAAAACCTGCGAATTAACTATTCAAAACAACCATAATCTAACTCTTCCACAGTTGCTCTGAAGGTACTTTAGTTTCTACTAAACAACAGCAGACATTGTAGTTATAAGATTCATAACTACAGTGAATTGCCTGGTTTATCACAAATGTTAAATACAATCATGTGAAAAAATTTTAAGATCAACTCACCTATGAAACAAAATTGAGAATCACAGTTGTGATGTACAATTCAGTGACCTGGCCCATATGTATAAAATATCTTATATATTTACTCATTTATAATAAGATATGGTAGGTAGCATATCTTTTACTAAAATATATCTTAATTAAATTACCCCTAATGTTTTAACCAGCTGCCCTAACAAAAGGGATACACACATGGCAACATTAAAAATGTCTTCAGCCTAGCACACTGCCAAACAACTTGCCATTTTAAGATTAATAAACATTTCTGATATAATTAATTCATTACTTTAAGACTGCAAGATTAACTCTACAATATCCAAAGTTTTAAGAATATTATTAGTTTATAAGTAAAAATTCATACTTACTGACTCACATTCCCTCAGTTTTTTCTGAGCCCCATCAAAGTCAAAGTTAACATACAAGCATTCAACGAATTCTGTAATTGGGTCTTTATATGTGTAAGACTCCTGTAAAATTAAGTCAAAGGTCAAATTATATCTGGTTCAATATTGTTTAGCAGATTGCCCCTAGAATATCCCAACCTTCTTGTCTTCTTTCTTTACAATTTCTAGCCAAATTACCTAGCATTATTGTCTCAAAGCAATTGCATCTATCCTGATTCCAGAACACATCTTATGTCTTTCAAACCAAGCTCTCGAAATTCTGATCCTAGAGTGATTCCAAAAACTTTCAAATTCCCCTACTACCAAAAATCTCCCTTAGTCAATAACTATGATGCACTTGCCCAAGGATAATGGTATTCATTCCTTACTGAATGAGAATTACTACTTTGTATTTAATTCATTCTTAGATCAAATAAATACTTAAGTTCTTTTTCTAATCCATGGTTTTTGCTGAGAAGCTCACTAGGTATCAACCAGCAGGCCTGCAGCTTTTTCCCAACTTGGGGACTATTAATCCTGTATTTATGAATATATAACGTATATTAAATACCTACCTGACACACATCAATAATCATTCATACCACATCTACTGTGTTTCCCTGAAAATAAGACCTACCCATAAAATAACCCCTAGCAGGATTTCTAAGCATTTGCACAATATAAGCCCTACCCGGAAAACAATACCTAGTGATGGGCGTGGCTATGCAGCATATCTGCACAACCCATGCATTTTGTTGCAGAGCGGTAGAGAAGACGAGCAGCCCTTCTCATCTGCCCCATGAGACCTCTATTGCTTAATATGAGAGATTGGGGCTAATGGTTCTAAAGGAAAGGGTCGCAAGAAATTCAGGATGGAATTCAGGGTTTGGAGAGTTATGAGGACGTTCCAGAAGAAGACGACTTAACTATATTTGAATAAATGTAGATTGTTGTACCGTACTTAAAAAAAATAATGTACCGTACTTAAAAAAAATAACACATCCCCTGAAAATAAGCCCTAGGGTGTCTTCTTGAGGAAAAATAAGTATAAGACTCTGTCTTATTTTGGGGGAAACACGGTAAATAGTATATCTTGGACTCAAAGACAGTAAATGTCCATTTGATGTTCTTCTAAAATTCATGTATACTTCCCTCCTATTTTTTAACCTATTTTAACCTTAAGAACTTAGAGTCCTACTTTAGAAAAAGAGATCACACCTAAAGTTTAGGTACTTTAAAAAAATAAATATAGATTTTAGTTTTTACCTGTTGAATAACCTTGACTAAGTCTTTTAGCACTTGCCGGCGTTTTCGAACATCCTTGTTTGTTATGACTGCTGTAGTCAAATAACGAAGAATATGTGGACACATTGTCTGAATTGCATTAAGATACCTAAGGTAAAAATATAAACTCTGTGAGTTAAACACTTGAGCAGCCCAACAGTCTCACTAACCTAAGACTGCAAACACTTAAGAATGAATACTGTAAGGGTGTCTCCTTCTTCCAGGAAATAAAGAAACAGAATCTAACTTCAGGAATCTAAATAATGAGAATGCCAGCCAGTATTCCCCAATTTATAGTGAGATGGAAGAATCATTTAAGAATCCTATTATGATTTTTTTAGTAACAGGATTTTAGAAGACTTTTCTGCATGCTGTCAGTGTGTTCCCAAAGACTACCAAGCTATGACTTTCAATCATCCATTAGAACAAAGTATTCTTCTACATGCAAAGTATTCATCATAATCAGAAAATTGGGCACTTAACTGTCATGTGCGTTGCATTTAACCAATGCTAGTTTTGAGCCCGGAACCTCATGAAACATATATAACTCACACATCTCTTTACCTTGAGAGCTGTGTGGTGTACAAGCAGCTCACATTGCTGTGCTATGGCATACATGTTACGTGATGGTTAGAGCCCTGGGCAAAACCCTGAAGTTGGTTTGTGAAAATCTTACTTGTTGATTTTCTTATTGTTAAATTAAGATTTACAATTTAATTCTAAAAGTGTCAATTAAATGAACAGAAATCAATAAATGTCATTTTTCTATTTATGTTTACCTTTAAATTATACTTAAGCCTGACAAGAAAAACACTTTTTACCCCTTATGAACTATTTTTCTGGTTTTCACATTACTAATTTCCAAGTTTTTATATTACTGTTTCATTGAAAAAAACACAGAAAACAATAAAAAAAACCAATTTTTTCATTAAATTAGAAAGGTTTGTTTGTTTTCAAAGTTTTTATTCTATTTTCATAATAAAACACCATAGCCCCAAGGGAAAAAAATTTTTTTTCTAGTGTGATAGTCAATGTGTTAAAGAATTCAGGGGTTGAAAGACTCAAAACAATAATAAGAAGAAAACTATTACAATAACACAAGGCCTTGGGTAAACTGGTAGCAGTAATTAGAAAGGAAAAGATATCAGGTAAATATCAACAGGGACTTAGCTAATATTTAGCAAATCTTGCTATTCTGATGATAAATGACAACCCTCTGTCATTAGATGTTTATTCTATATTTCTCCTGCTCAATAAACAGTTCCCTATTTTTTATCCAATAAATAGTAATTGAGCACCTCTGAGTGCCAGACACTATGCCAAGCTCAGAATTATTAATATTTGTCAATAAAGTCCAATTCTCTTAGGTGGACATTTAAGCCCCAAATTACCCAGCTCCATCTCTCATCATACCATCACTGACAACTCCTGTTTTTCTTCTTGAAGCTCATTCCATGTGGATGGCTCTCCCAAACACATACCCCTGAAAGCCTAATTCTTAGTCATCCTTCAGGGTCCAGCTTAGACACTTTGTTTTCCAAGTTCTTCCAGACTACGATTAATGAATTTATATTTTATTGTAGATTCCCACAAAATGTTGCTTTAACTCTTGAGAGGACCCCAGAATCTGTTAAATAACACCTAATACTATCTAGTCCCACTTACCCTACCTTGAATGCCCTCTAAACAAGCAAGGTATGAAAAGAATCAATATCCATTCTGGAATAAAACAATTTCTAAGAAAAGATATCTAAAATGTACCAGCTAAAAATTGTACCAATCCAAAAATTAAGCCTGAGTTTTAAATGGAAATTTTTAAATTGTAATACTAGTTCATAACAATTACTTATTTCAATAGTATCTTGCCAGAGACCTTGTGTACAAGCACAGGAGAGCATGGTTGTTTTTCATAGTATGAGTTTTGAAGTAGATAATTTTAGTAGGCATTTATGGGACTCATTCACAAATTTATCTAAACTCATTATACATGACTAGATAATTCTATTTGTTGTATAGAATTTTAAACACATTTCTTTTTACTTATCCTAAACTTTATACCACTATAACATATACATGTTCATTATCTTTACTGGAGGATGACTTCCTTGGGAAACCCACTGTTTCTTTGTGTATATGCCAGAGGCTGACAAAATTTTTGTAAAGAATCTGTTAATAGTAAAACTTGAAATTTCTTAGAAAATTGATGTTATTTTTATTTAGCAAACAAACACTTTTACAAACTAAATTTTACATCTTTTTATTAAGTGGAAGTAATATGGCCTTGTATTACAGATGCATTTTTTCCCCCTAATAGCATGTACATTTAGTGGCAAAATTATATCTAATAGCCTACGAACACTTTCTACCTTACACCCGATATGTATTACATTACACTTCAAAGTTCAACATTTTTCAAATGTGTTACTTATCTGCACTTTAGATTCAGAATAAATTATGACAGAAACGGTAATATACATGACATAAGAGATCTTAACCTGAATAAGCATCTAAACTCACTTCAGGAAAAATGTAAAAATTATCTCCAAGTGCTTTTTATATTAAAAAAAAATCCTACAATTCACAATCTATGTAAAGTATCAATTTAACTTGCACTCAACCAATCACATTAAACTGTAATACTGTGCTATTAGAAGTAAAAATAGGAAGAACATGATACTTTCTTAATAAATCTCTACTACCTATCAGACAATTGAAAAACACATGCTGATTGTAGGCATACAAATGAAAACTACACATTGAAACTGAACTCTTCCAAGGAAAGAACACACAGCCCAGGAAATGGCTGAAACAATGTTCTGTCAAGTCATCTGGTATTTTCATATGAAAAAAGTTAGGATAAAAAAAGAAAATCAAAATAAGCCATGAAGACATTACTGACAAGAAAGAAAATATGATGGTACCCTAACTCTATGGCAAGTGAAAACAATTAAGCACAGTATTTTTGTGAACTAAACGTCATAATAACACTAGTAGCTTTCTTTTCCACATTTTGCTAACAGGCTGTTTCTGTTTTTAAAAAGTTCCACAGGCCGGTGCGGTGGCTCATGCCTGTAATCCTAGCACTCTTGGAGGCCGAGGTGGGAGGATCGCTCAAGGTCAGGAGTTCAAAAACCAGCCTGAGTTAAGTGCGAGATCCCATCTCTACTAAAAATAGAAAGAAATTAGCTGGACACCTAAAATTATATAGAAAAAATTAGCCAGGCATGGTGGCGCATGCCTGTAGTCCCAGCTACTCGGGAGGCTGAGGCAGGAGGATTGCTTGAGCCCAGGAGTTTGAGGTTGCTGTGAGCTAGGCTGATACCATGGAACTCTAGCCTGGGCAACAGAGTGAGACTGTCTCAAAAAAAAAAAAAAAAAAGAAAAAAGAAAAGAAAAGGTCCACAGGCATGAGGGTTCTTATTGGAGACATAAAATGTCCTAAAACTGATTGTAATAGTTACATTACTAAGTTACTAAAAATTATTGTACTATATAAACAAGCAAACTCTTCTGGTACCTTAGCACAAATCAAACTATACTACTAGTAGTGTATTTTTCACCACCACACTTTTATAGTTTAAGAAAAAAAAAAGAAAGAAAGCAATTACCAACTACATCCTCAATTAGGTAGTACAAATTATTAATTTCTAAAAAAATTAACACAAGTATGATCTTTTTAATCTTTTGTATAACTAAATGGGAACCACACACGTATTAAAGTGCTTCTGCTATATACTACTTCAGTGTCATGGTTGTTTTCAGGAAAAGCACTTGAGTGACTGAGTCACAAAATGAACTAGTTGCTTTTCTCACAGAACACTATTTTTACTTGCAAGAATGACAGAAAAACCAAAGCTATTCATACTTGGGTATTGGCAGACATATTCTAGAAAATGAAGTGAGCCTGTTCTTCAACAAAAACAAATGATACAATTAGAGCTTTCAAAAAAAGCTAAAATTTTGGAAAATTTTTATCTGCTGCTGGGAGTTTAACAGCTTTCCAACACTTCAAGTGTTTTCTAATGGAATCGATAGTAACGTTAATGAATGTGGTTTTTCTGGTGTTGCATAACATCAACACACTGGAATATCTGCATGACCCTGTATTTCCCAAACAACCAATACATGATATAAAATCATGCATGGGGAAAAGATCCATTCTAATTACAAGATAGATCAATACAGCCTAGAATACCAGTACAGTTTAGAATCTGTAAAGTTCAATGATATGGTTTCAGATTCCACGTTACAAATGATTATTTGCCTAGTTTTATTGCACTTTATTGTATTTTTATTACAAACATAGTATTCACAATTATCTGAAAAGGCTATTAAAACTTTCTTTTCCAACTACATATATGTGTGAGGCTAGGTTTTCTTCACATACTTCAAATAAAACACATAATAGATGGCATGAAAATCCAGCTGTCAATTAACCCAGCAATTAAAGGTCTGCAAAAATGTAAAACAATGTCAATCCTCTAAATTCTTTTGTTTTAAAAGTTTTTTTTCATAAAAAATCCATTGTTTATGTCAAATCTAATCTATTTACTATTTGTTAGTAAGTAAACATATACTTTTAATTTGCTTTACTTTCTAATACAGGAAGACTTAACATCGTTGATAGGTTCTTGGAAACCTTGACTTCAAATGAAATGACTTAGAGAAGGTCCTCAAATAACACTTTCACTAAGAACCACTGGCTTGTAAAAATATTCCCAGAGACAGTTCTGATGTCATTCCTTTTATCTTCCAAACATCCAATGGCTCTTCAGTACGTATTATCTAATTTGGATCTTTGAGGAGGGAGGCTTTAACTGGATGTTCCAAAAGGGTGCTATTTGTCCTACTAAGTTAGACTGAATATATTCCCATACTCACATACTTTGTTAAACTCCAAAATTACCAATAAATTTATCAAGACCCAGAGTCTTTTTAATGGAATCACTTAAAAACAAAACAAAACAAAACAAAACCCCTCATAGTTCCTCCTTTAGTTAACTGATCTGATAAATACAACGTACGGCAGGTTTTGGAGCATCATCCAAGTATATACAGTATTTCCTTATGATTTTAAATATTTTATTATTTTATTAGTCATATACAGCCATATTCATTTCTACTTTTCATTTTCATCTTTTTTCTTTTATTTTTCAAATGAAATAAGTTTTAAGTTTAGTAATTTCAATATTTTCTAATATATATATTATTTCCATTGCCTACATATGTTTTTCTGTACTTTTTTTCCTTTTGAGACAAGATTTCACCACGTTGCCTAGGCTGGAGGGCAGTGGCAATTCACAGGCATCATCACAGCACACTGCAGCCTCCAACTCCTGGGCACAACGATTCTCCCACCTCAGCTTCCCAAGTAGCTGAGACTACACACTCTACTTTTTTCTGTACTTATAATAAAAGTTTTAAAAGCTGAATAAGTACTCAAAGCTATGAGTTAAAATCTGAGGGCTGCTTTGATAGATATTTCTTTATTAAATATTTAATCTCTTCTTTCATTTAGTTATTTATAATATTTTTAAGTTTTCCAAAATTTACTCTTTTACATTATTACATTCTTAATTTCTAGAGTTAATGTATTCTGCCCAGAAACTCAACCATTAACATTTAAAAAAAATTTTATTGCAGGCTTTCTGGTGGCCTAAGGTATCTAAGAATCTGATAAAAGATATTATTAATAACATATTTAAATAAATATTGGGTAGCAGAGGGGAATAAGAACAGAGTAAGAGGTATTAATCTGAAATAGAATCATGAAAAAATAAAAAGCAATTCTGGAAATGCTCACCCAAATGTTTAGGGTGATATAATACATATCAAAAAATGTGCATGGTCCTGGCCCTAGTGGCAGGAATATTTCTATTTGAACATGGTTATGTTAGGCTGGCTTTACCTGACGATGAAATTAAACATTCCAGTCATAAACTAACTATCCTGATTCCAAGTACTCATAAAACAACCTTCAGCTAATTATATTATGGCTTCCAATGCATTAAATCTACAGGATCAGAACAATCTGTTCAAATGTTTCATGTACTTAGTCCTCTTAGGACTTGCACTTCTCATTATAAATTACTGATGGCATTCTGGGTTTACATATCTGTCTTTCTGAACCTGGTTTTTAATAAATCTATCTGTAGGATATTGCCCAATAAAGTAGCTGAACTTACTCTGCCAAAGTCCAGAATGAAGTAAGGCCACTCTTGTAGGATCTTATTTTAGTGGGCCATTGGCCTTTTTTAAAAAAACCTTTTCCACTACCTTTTTACTTAATTCAACATTTGATTTATATAACTTTTCAGATAATAAACAAGCTACCACGGATCCAGCAAACAGTAAAGTACACACATAGAGAACATTTTAAAAATTGTATATATATAATATTAATACTGAATTTCTGACAACTAGAATTTCTTTATGATGGAACAACTGCTCAGGCAGAATGGAGTTATTTTATCTAGTGAATAATATGAATCAAGAAAGCATATTTGAATGCTACGAAAACATCTCCAATAATAAAACTATAACATTATATAAATTATAAAATTTCGTCTCTCACCAATTATTTACATTTAAAATTATTAATATAACCTTGGAACACAAGATCATGCATCGTCTCCTGGCCCAATGACATATGGTTTTGATTTTTCTTTGCTCAAAGACAAAAACAATTTTCTCTGTTACAACATTCCTCTGCCCATGTTTAGTTTTAACATACTGGACCAGCATTTCATGCAAATAGCAACTAAATTTATCAATACTGAACTTAACTTTGCAATGTTAATGTGAAAAGTAAACAAGGATGCTAAAAGTATTTCTTCTATTAACCAGAATGAGGGGAACATTAACATACAGCATTTAATGCAGAGAACAGTACACATGCCTTTTAAGAATTGCTCCCTGTGAAAAAATTACTGGCACTTCATATCTTAATATTTTTCCATCTGTATCAATAACTTAAATTTCTTTTAAATTAAAGTCCTGATTATGTGAACAATTTAACTGACAAGGTCAAATGTTTTAAAGTCTTAAAAATTTTCCCAGAACAGATGGGGCGTGGTGGCTCACGCCTGTATTCCTAGCACTATGGGAGGCCAAGGTGGGAGGATCACCTGAGGTCAGGTGTTTAAAAACAGCCTGACCAAAAGTGAAACCCAGTTTCTACTAAAAAGAGAAAAAATTAGCTGACTGTGGTGGTGCATGGCTGTAGTCCCAGCTACTTGAGAGGCTGAGACAGGAGGATCGTTTAAGTCCAGGAGTTTGAGGTTGCTGTGAGCTAGGCTGATGCCAAGGCACTCTAGCCTGGGCGACAGAGAGAGATTGCCTCACAAAGCAAAAAAAATTTTTTTCCTAAACACTTAAAGAACATTGTTTATTAATGTGACTCAGTTTAGATTATTATATCTTATCAACCTATCCAAAAATATCACTATAGTGTTACTTTATTTTTAAGATTTTGAAAATTACAGAAATGATTTAAGAACAAGTTGTTTTCATTTGTGTTTTATATCAGAAGAGTATTACATCCTCTCTTTTTCTCTTTTTTAAAGGGACAGGGCCTCATTCTGGTACCCAGGCTGGAGGGCAGTGGTGTGATCATAGCTCACAGCAGCCTCAAACTCCTATGCTCAAGAGATCCTCCTGCCTTAGCCTCCAGAGTACATAGGACTATAGGTACTTGCAGGGGCACTGGGCTAAATTTTTTTTTTTTTTTTAGAGATGGGGTCTTGCTATGTGCCCATACTACTCTCAAACTCCTGGCCTTAAGCTATCTTCCCACCCCAGCCTCTCAGAGTGCTGGGATTATAGGCATGAGCCACCCACCCCCCTGCCAGCACTACCTATTTCTAAACTGTACTTTTGTAAATTAAAATATGCATTTTAATAAAATAATTTGACAGACAACAATAAGTAGAAACTAACATAAAATATAACAACTATAAAATCTTTATTTAGGTTAACAAACAATAAAAATATAGCTCATGCCTGTAATCCCAGCACTTTGGGAGGCCTAGGTGGGAGGACTGCCTGAGGCCAGGAGTTTAAGACCAGCCTGGGCAATATCCTATCTCCACAAAAAATTTAAAAAAAAACATCAGCTAAGCATTAGTGGTGCATGATTATGTAGTGCCAGCTACTGGGGAACCTAAGGTGGAAGAACTTCTTGAGCCCAGGAGCTCAAGGTTACAGTCAGCTATGATCAGGCCACTGCACTCCAGCCTGAGTGACAGAGCAAGACCCTGTCTCTATGATAAATATAAATAAAGCCAATATAAGCTATACCACGAAGTAATTGCTAATATGTTATTGCAATGCTGGGCTATATTAATAAGCATATGTACAGATAATAGAAGCTAATCTTGCCACTGTAATCTATAAAGCTTGTGTAACAATCCTAGAATAAGGTTTCAATTTTGAAGATCCAAATTTTAAGAAAGATATGGATAAATGGAAATTATTTAAGGAAGGCAACCGCAATACTACAGGGTCTGAAAAACTTTTATTACTTAATAAAACTAGAGATAGCCTGAAGGAAGCAGAGAAAAGTAAAAATTATCTTCAAATAATCTGAAGTATTTCCATAAAGCAGTCCTGTTTCCTGTTGTTCCAACCAATCAAAAAATAATAGGAAGAAGTTTTACAGGCACTTAAGCTCAACCAGAAGAAAAACTGTTTTTTAAAAAAAGATTTCTAGCTGATATTAATAGAATGGTCTAGTTCATAAAACAGCTAATTTCTTATCATCAAAAGATTAAAGAAAAGCAGTATGATAGAGCAAAGATGATATAAAAAGGATTCTTCCACGATGTACATATTCCTTTCAAATAATATGGCCTAGTGTCTTATTTCTACTATTTTAATGTATATAGTTACCTGGGATCTTATTAAAATGCAGATTCTGATTCAGTTCTTTTAGGGTGAGTCCTGCTATTCTACATGGTACCTATGCTCCTGGCCCAGGGAACACATTTTAAATAGCACTTTAAAGTGCCTAGAGTGGCCGGACACGGTGGCTCACGCCTGTAATCCTAGCACTCTGGGGGGCTGAGGCAGGAGGATCTTTCGAGGCAGGAGTTCGAAATAAGCCTGAACAAGAGCGAGACCCTGTCGCTACTAAAAATAGAAAGACATTAATGGACCAACTAAAAATATATATACAAAAAATTAGCCGGGCATGGTGGCACATGCCTGTAGTCCCAGCTAGGGAGGCTGAGGCAGGAAGATCGTTTGAGCCTGGGAGATTTAGGTTGCTGTGAGCTAGGCTGATGCCACGGCACTCACTCTAGCCTGGGAAACAAAGTGAGACTTTGTCTCTAAATAAATAAATAAATAAAGTACCTAGAGTACATTTTATCCAATAATTTACTTAAGAGTTACATTTAAGCTTTTCAATTAACAAGCAAATCTACCACACAAAGGGGAAAATGAGTGACAACAAATTCAAATGTTTGAAGTACATTTTAAGTTTAAAAAATTCAGTATCATTTCATATAGATAGTTAAAGTTAAAATTATACAATGAAATAACTTACTGTGGTTGGTAAAGGAAGAGATCGATAATATTATCACGACCTTTGGGGTGGTTGAAGAAAACAAACAGTGACCAATGAATGAGCCATGTTCGCTGCTGAAGAGACTGGAGTGGAGAACTCACAGACTACAGGATTAAAATAAGATACACAGGAAATATTAACATACAAGAAAGAGAAAAAGAATAAATATCACTGATTTTGAAAACATAATTAAAAACTAGACCTTTGAAAGGCACGCACTAGGGTGATTATGATCAAAGTCTAACCCCCTATACCTTCTCTCACATGATACCCAACATTCCAAATTATTGCCCTGTAATTAGAGACAGACTCAATAATGTCCATTGAATCACTCTTATGGCAGTTATAAATTATAATCATTTTTGAAAGCCATTTAAAGCAAGAGTTGGACTAAACATTCCATAATAAGTGATTTTATTAGACATTAACTGTGGATAAAAACTGTCTTCTGCATAGAACTTTCATTAACAAGTGGCACTAATAGCATAGTGTCATTTTCACTGGCATAAAAAAAAGGGCATAGTAACTATAACAGAAATGAAGACTGAGTTCTTTTCTCTATGAGCCAAGATATATTTGACAGTTTCCTTCAAATCTTCAAGGAGATTCATAGAAACTAATCAATCTACTAACGCACTGTGATTTTTGTCAACAAAAAGGTCAACAAAAACTAATCTGAAAATTTTAGTACCCCCAAAGTACACATAAGAAAATGTAAAGGACATACAGAAATTTCAGAGAATTACTCAGAGTAAGTATAACTCACGTTATTATCTATGGTCTCCTTTAGCCTTGTGAGGTCTTCCATGGCTGCATCCCAATTCTGCATTAAGATTTCAGATGCCAGTTTTCCCCAGAGTGAACTTAAAGCATTTCTATCTGTTGCTGGAACCTGTTTAAGCAATTATAATTAATTATATTGTGAGTACTCTGGAGGAAAAACAATGTATATTTTATAGCTCACACAGCCACCTAGCCTACTAAAAGACCTATAGCTTTCTACCCAAACTCCACTCTTTACTAGACCATACTAGTTTAGCTGTTTCAAATAACTTAATTTACTAAAAATACTCAGGTCTTTATTATTCAGACTAGATCAGAAAATAAAGGGTAAGTTTTAAAACTAGGAAACAGCAGCATCATTTTAGTGTAACCCATTTCAGATAATTTATATACAACTTATCAGATTTAAGGGATCTAAAACTTTATAAATCAAGTTAGAGTCATAGGAAATTTGTCACTAAAATCACTGGAAATGAAGATAGGGAACATCAAGACTTGTGGGTCTCATTTACAATGTAATGAGAAATTATGTACACAACAAAAAACAATTCTAAATTATGACACAAATGGAAGGAGTTATGGAGATGGAGAGGGGGAAAATCCAGGCTCATTGGTTGATGACAGTTAATAGTTATCAAAGGATTATGTAATAAGCAAAAGTTAATTTTCTCATATAATCCTACTAAAACTTTATAAGGTAGATGATATTTTTTTATCTCTTTTTCAATAGAGGAAGTAATGCATAGAGAATGTAACTTGCCCAAAATTATACTTCTAATTGTGAAAGATACCTATGAAAAAGGAGAACTGAAGGCCATCCCTACTTTTGCTCTCCACTGGTGAAAGAGGGTCACAAACTCAAAATACTTATAAGGACTAGGCTAGTAACAAACATGAATAAAGCAGGACTCCCTAAGACAAGGCAATAGAAGTAGGTAAAATGATTCTGAACTGATCATATGTGCTAAAAGCAGCAGAAGCAAGTACAGGTAGTGGAGGGAGAATATATTTCTGCACCCCAAGATGAAATTTTGGGTGTAATTTTTCACTGAAGCATATAATAGTATAAATGTCAAGCATGTATCATAATTACAAGTTAAATAAAATTGTATGTGCAGGAGTAGAAATCCAACCAACAAGTACTCCGGCTCTACCACTTACAATTAATAGCTAAATAGTTTGTGCTTTAGCTTCCTTATCTGTAATATGGGGAGAGTAACAGAATCCACGTTAGTTGTGTAGTTTAAATGACATAATACACGTAGAGATGACAACATCACTTGATAGAGCTCAGTAAATATGAGTTAGTAAAATGACAATGAAAATGGTGTCAGAGAGAGATATATATAATAGATCTATATATTTATCTTAAGATGGATAGATAATTTAAACTTTGGGGACTATAAATAATACAGACTCAACCTATACTGAGATTCTGCCTTTGATGGCAGTAATTAACTTAAATGTGCTAAATAACATTGAGTAAACTCTAAGAACAGGCAAATAACAGAGACTTAATTTACAAATTAAGTTTCAAAATGTATCCATGAAACTACTGGTTCTAATTATTATCGCAAAGTACATCCACAATACAACTTGTACATGCATATTCATGACAACTTTATTTGTAAAAGTAAAGTAACCCAAATGTTTGTCAATAGATGAATAAACAGATTACGGTATAGTTATAGAATAAACTACTACTGAGCAATAGGAAAAAAAAACAAACTTCTGATATACACAATAATATGAATGAATCTCAAAAACTTGCTAGTAAAAATAAGCCAGACATAAACATACACACTATTATCATTCCACCTGTATGAAATTCTAGAATAGGTAAAACTAATCTATAGGGACAGAGAGCAGATCAATGGATAACCAGGACCAGAAGTGGAATATGACTACAGAGTTGGCAAAAAGGGTCTTTCTGGGGTGAAAGGAATATTTTTCACCTTGACTCAGTGGTAGCCACACAGGTATACACATTTGTCAAAGTTCACAGACATTAAAAAATTCATTTATAAAAATCCATAAAATCATTTTAATTATAAAGGATAAAATGTTTAATCCTTATAAAAGATAGGACATCTGAGTATTAAAATATATCATGTCTAAGATGCTTTCAGTTTTAAGATACACTATTCTTTTATTTCCAAAACAAAAATCTTAGTCAAGATACATGCAGATGTTAAAATATGAACAACCATGTCTGAAAGTCAACATTAAATAGACATCTTTTACACCAACATTACATCAGGGTACATCAGAACCAACACTTCAGAAAAGATCCTAAAGCTACCAAAAGTCATCATTACTCAAGGAAAAAGAGCTTTTAAATAAGAATAGTGTGCACAAACAGTAGATATATTTTAAATCCAGAGTGGAAAAATAACTACAAAAATATGATCACAAATAGTCCTAGCATTTAAAATCATTTTTATTTCAAATAGCAGCTGGGGCCAGGCACAGTGGCTCACGTCTATAATCTTAGCATTCTGGGAGGCTGAGGCAGGTGGATCATTTGAGCTCAGGAGTTCGAGACCAGCATGACTAAGAGGGAGACACTGTCTCCACTATTTTTTTTTTAAAAAACAAAAACAAATAGCTGCTGAATTGGGGGATGGGTTATATTTTAGAGCTAGATCAAAGGCCACAGTGAGGGCAGATTTAAAAAAAATAATTAACAGTGTAGACTTTTAAAATTTTGAGACACAGTTTTGCTGTGTCACCCGGGCTAGAGTGCAGTGGCATCATCATAGCTCACTGCAACCTCAAACTCCTAGACTCAAGTGATCTTCCCGCCTCAGTCGCCTTAGTAGCTAGGACTATAGGCATTAGCCACCATACCTGGCTAATTATTAATATTTTGTTTTTTGTAGAGACAGAGTCTCAGGCTGGTCCCAAAGACCTGGCCTCAAGCAATCTTCCTGCCCTGGCCTCCCAAAGTGCTGGGATTACAGGTGTGACCCACTGTGCCTAGCCAGTGTTAATAACTTTTAAAACAAGCTCAAAAATTCCCACCAAACCTATTCCACCATTTCATTTTAATTAACACATTTCCTGGAGTATAAGTCAAAGAGGTTTCAAAAGAAGCAGAGTGTACCTAAACATTCCTCAATGCATTCTAAAATCCACCAAGTCTTTTTAAAATAAAGGCAGATTCTAGGGTCACACAGCTTTAATTTATACAACACTGACCTACAATAGGTCATTCGGAGAGTCAAATTCTAATCTCACTCAGATCACAGTTACAATGGCTCTTTCAAAGCTTATGTTTCCCTAACCATAGATTTAAAAGAATAACCAACCACCAGAAAAGAATTCAGAAATTAAAAAAGGCCATTGCAAAAAAATAAAGTAAAATAACTAACGTAAAACATTGACTTTTTTTATCCCAAATTCAAAACAGGATTTTTAGATTTTTCTATTAAAATTTCAAGTAAATACATAGATTTTATGATAGCGTCTAAATCAAAAGATAAGTAATATAATCTACTCTTTAAATATATTAGTCTGCCAATATGACAATTAGAAGCAACCAACTCCTACCTAATTGGAATGTTTTGTGGCAGAAGATGTGACAAAAATTAAAACATGAATTGTATGTAACTTCTAAGAACTCCCAATAATTATGTTGACTGCTCTTAATATAAAGCATATTAATTTTGTGTTATCATAGTACTCAATCTCTCAATCAAAATGTCACTTGAGTTCCAGCACAAGCTTTGTTAGGGCAATGCAAAAGGTTAAAACTAACCCAGAATTTTTTTTAAGATAGGGAACTAACTTGGATGCTCATGTTTTAAAACAGTAAACATAAAAATTCCCATATCTTTAAGTATATACCTATCACTTATAGAAATTGTCACATTATAAAACCATATTACATAAACATAATGATACTATTAAAACTAGAATGTGTTACATGTGTTAGGATAAAAGCTTTTTGTTGCAGTGCAGCAAGTTTCTTAATCCTCAAAAGGTTCATGTATACTACTCTGGCTAAACTCCATGTCATTACAGTTGGCTCTTCATACCAACTTGCTTTCAAGGGTGGATATGCTAGAAGCATTTCAATATCTGGATTTCCAGCGGTTACCTTCAGTTTCCATGTCTTAGCAAAATGGCACAGTCACTCACTGACCAACAACAATAAATTTACTGTGCTGGAACTCTAACATGACACTAAATCTTCATTCTCAAAATTCACTCCCAGCATTAACAGATGATATGAATAACCAACTCTTTTCAAGTACCTGTAATCATACCAGGCTTCTGATTTTACAATCCTGGTTTAAGCTGTTTACATTTCCAAAGTAATCAACTTTTGCTCTCCTAAATCTCTTGTAATATTCAAAGTAGAACTGATGGAATTTTCCGATAAGTCACTACAAGTTTAGTATCACACTGATTACCTTCAATGCACTTGCAAGCTAACCAAAGCTAATCTGCAAGTTAAGAATTCATCTATAAACGGTAGCAAGAGAAAAATAATTTTTTCAAATTAAAGGTGGAAATAAACAAAAAAATCTTTATTCCTTTGAGAGAGGGTAGATAGTTCAAAAAATTAAGCTGTTTATGTAATTTCAGTGTAGGGATTACCTGAATCTAACACAAATCTTTCCCTCCCACCAAAAGGAAAGCTAATTTCCTAGAAAATAACCAAAAACGGCAAGACATAAGTCTTTTTTTATGTGTGTGTGGCACGTGGAGCTAAAAGTGAAGAAAAAAGCACCAGAAAATAAAGACAAAAGAAACAAACTCTTCCAAGGTTGAAAGACAAAAAGTCTTTTTTGAACCTCTAGGATTAACTAGAGAAATCAGAGACTTACATACTTGCTTACTAAGCCAAGTGAAATAACAAATTATAATTTCTCAAATGAGAGGCTAGTTAAAACAAGCATATTTTGACAACTCTAGAAGACACTTATTACAATTACCTAAATGGCAGACAGAATGCCAAATAAGTATGTCAGTTTGGAGACCTGACTTTTAATCTGGCTTCACACAACTCTCCTTCCCTAACAAAAGCACCAAATCTATGAACTTGTCAATCAGACAAATGACAGTAACAGGGTACTTTATGGTTAATAGTCATTTGAACTCATCTACATCCTGCACAATCAAAAAGCCATTGATCTTTATATTCAAATAGCTGAGGGTAAAGATAAATTTTAAAAAGTTACTATTAAGTCATAAAATATTTTAAATACCATTAGGATTCCACAGTTGTTAAGAACAAGTTTAAGGAATATATACAGCATAAAAGACTAAATTAAAGCAAGGAATAACAGACTTATTGAGTAATATTGATTAAGCACCTACAATGTGCACTTACACTGTGCTTTAATGTTATAACAACAAAACTATTACATGCTAGAATTCTGTTAATGCTAAAAATCATACAATTATACATAAAACAAGGACAAATTAAATCTCCTCCTTTGAGGTCCTGACATAAGGTTTCCTGTTTCTGTTTTGTTTTCTTTTCTCATTTGCCAACAACTGTTGAAAACTTAATGGACAAACTCAAATTTATAGATATGTTACAACAAAACAAGGGAATCCTACAAAAGAGAAAACAAAGGAAAAAAAAATAAACTACTTACCAACACTCTAAAAAAATAAAGATATTCTGCTGCTCCTGAGTAATTCCCACATTCATATTGGAATTTCGCATATCTGTAGAGTGTATCTAAATATTCCTGCCTAAACTAAAAAGAAAAAAAAAGTTATATTCCTGCCTAAACTAAAAGAAAAAAAAGTTATATTTGTTATTAGTCTTAAAATTCCAATCTCAAAAATCCCAGTCTTAAAATTCCAGTCTTAAAAATCCAATCCAGTCTTAAAATTCCAGGGTTTAAATAACCCTGGAAGTCAATTCTTTCAAAGATTCCCAAAAGTTGCCACTAAAAACAAATATCATGATCACAGATTCCTTTGACCCATAAAATATACATTAGGAATTAGTCAATTTAACACTCACAATTTTGACCTCAAAGATTTATGAACTGTGGAGATATCTACTTTGTTGTAATACAAATTTAAATTGCAGCTGATGGTCTGGTGTATGAGTCCCTTAGCTGGTGACAGCTTAGCCAACTACCAAACATATGCATCCTTGTAAGTTTCTGTGGTTCTATACAAATAGAACAGTATAGTACAGTAAACTTCTATTCTGTGGCCCCAAAATAACACCAACTTTTAGAGTTAATGATGTAAGCACAGTGAAAAATAAAAGAAACTTAAGAGAAGGGCTCCAAAGTTAACAAACCCACCAAACATTCTATGAAAATCAGAAAGAATAATCTGCACCATGATCAGCAAATCTCTCATCATAGTAATTGTTAAATGAGAAAGTAACCTTGAATGCAAGTTAAAGAACTAATTATACACAAAGCCCCACACTCTCATACTTTGAGTTAACAGAAAGGAAATAAGATTGAGAGATGGCTAGGCAAGCTCAAAACATTCCTTTGTTTGTGAATCTAGGGATTTATGAAGACCTTGATAATTTCAAGTACTGCTGTATTCCACAACGCAGCCAAAGTATTACCTAATTCTACTGCTCAAAGCATTTCTAATTCAAATTTAGTTCTGTCTTTAATTACTTGTTAATCCATAAGAAAAGGTATCCTGTGCACTTTAACAACTAGTTTGCTGTTGGGACTAATGTAAAATGCAAACTATTATAATTCTGGAATAAATATAATAATATAAAATAAAATAAAAATTTTGAGAATTTCTATTAACTAAAGGTGAGTATAGGCATATATTTTCTTATCAGCACCAATTTTTAAAAACCGAAGATTTGAAAAACATACCAGATATATTTAATAAATTAATCTAGAAATTATATTCTTAGGCCAAGCCATGAACCTATCTGTACAGATTAGTCTTTAATCAACTTTATTAAAACATGACAACTTTAAAACATTTTTAAAAAATAAGGCTTACACCATGCTTGTCTGCTAGGTAGTCAAACAGCATCCGACCATCCCTAATAATAAAAAACAAAAATTATTATATTTTACAGGGCCCAGAAAACAAAATAAGCTTATCCAAGTTCTAAATTATTACCTGCACAAAGCTGCTTTAAATATTTTAATACTTAAACACTAGAAAATAAGACTTGCTGAAGAAAATAAACAGGATATATGTTTTGAACATAAGTATAAGTAAACAAGGGGAATTGCAAACTTTAAAATTCACTTTGATTTCTTTAGCCCTAATTGAATATTATGTGTTCTGTTTCACTACATCTAAGGTAAGGTCTTTTTAAGTTTTTCAGGTAATAAAACCAAAGTATATGACTATTTTTATAATAAGGTCAGCAGTCTACTTAGTTGGTAAACTATGAGAATGGGATTTGCTTTATGAGATTATATTCCTAATAGATAACATATTCTTATTATAGAACAGAGACTGAAAAAATTACACTGTACAAACTACCAGAAACTAATCCTACATATATAAATGCCCCCTTTCCCCAATCTGTTAATATTTTTCACAAGGACAATGATCTGGCAAATTTGCAAAATTAATAAATCATGCCTGACTTACTGCTACATACCCTATGAAATTACTGTTTATAATAAACTGCCAAATAACACAATTTAACTCTTAAATTAGCTTTGCACTAACTTGAGATGTTGGTAGACCAGTAAAAGACAAACTTTTGACAAAGACACCAAGGGACAAGAGACAGATGGGCACAACTCCCCATTTTATTAGCATTTTCAAAAATTAAAACATTTTCTTATCCTTTTTGCAAGAAGGAATATGCTGTAGCATGTCTTTGGGAGCATAATTTTACTTGAAGATTTAACAGGAATGGGATATGTATTCATTAAAATTAATATGAGTATATTATAATACTGAATATGAAACATGCATGAAATTTTTAAAATAAAAGGATTTTTAAAAAACTTAACATTTGCTGTGGATCATAATGAATAACTTTACTCTATATTCCTTGTGTTACTCAGTTATGTAATCATTATATCTGCTAGCTGACTGAATATTTCTGGTAAAGTATGAGAAGTATAATACAGTATGTTCAATGAAATTTTAAAAGGCGAGATTGTCAAGGAGATGTATTACTTTGAAAATAGGTAGTTTATAAGTGTAATTAGATTATAAGTTTATAACACACAATCCTTTCATTTATCTCCAATTTAGCGCTTATCAATAAATGAGGAATCCTTTTTCTAATATTTATTAAACACACCTACCTTTATCTCACTCATACTCTAATCCTATTACTTTCCAGTCTTTAAGTGACTAAACTAAAGCATCCTTAATTTTCTGTTGTCCTCTAACATCTGGATTATTTCAGCTATCCCTTTGTGAGCACTTACATGCAACTTGAAGGTCTATATTAATTATTACTCATCATATTCTAAAAGCATAGAATTAGCTTAGTGAAATACACACACACTCCTATATAGCTATATAAAGCTATATTATTTATAAACAGCTATATAGCTGTATGTGAATATGTATATATGTGTGTGTGTACACACATATATCTGTGTATACAGTCATCCCTTAGTATCCATGAGGGATTGGTTTCAGGACCCTCCATGGACAACAAAATCAACAAATACTAAAGTTCCTTATATAAAATGGTGTAGTATTTGCATATAACCTACACATGTACTCCTATGTATTAATATTTTAAATTATCTCTAGATAAGTTATACCTAACACAATGGAAATGCTATGCAAATAGTTATTATATGTTATTTTTAATTTGTATTATTTTTTATTAGTGTGTTATTATTCTTTATTGTTTTTTTCCCCCCAACATTTTTGATCTGTGGTTGACTGAATCCAGACAAGGAACCTGTGGATACAGAGAATCAAGATATATATGGGATATAATACAGCATAGTATGGTATGTTATAGTATAACATTGTAATTGTGTGGTATTGTTACTTTTCTGAAAACATCTGGTAATACTTTCTCATATCACAAAGGAAAACTTATAGCCGATCTCTAAAAATTTGGTTTGAACACATATTATAGAAGACATATTATATTAGATAACACACATTAAAGGTGAAACATGTTAAAATCTTCAGCAATTCCGCAAGTGAATATATTAGTAGCTAAGATTTATCACAATGGTAATACTCAATTTTAGTAGGTGATTTACTTTAAACATTTCTAATAACTCAAAGGGCTTCAATTAGTGACATGTATTAAGTCAGACTAAGGTAACATGCTTTCTTTAGAAACCAAACAATAAGTCTATTTCTAGCTAAAGGGAAGTTAGAAATAAAATAATCTTACCAGCTCCACATTACCCTCCTTGGGCTGGCAATCGAGGTTGGAAGGATATAATGCATATCCTTATTAACAAGTGATAAAGTGAGCTCGGGTTTCTCTTACAGTAAGCAACCCATCTGATACAGGTATTGCTCAGGCACAGGGTCTCTTGACTGACATTTTGAGTTGAATCATTCTTTATTGGGGAGTGGGGGGAGGGATGCTGCCTTATGCATTGTACGATGTTTAACAACATTCTTGGCCTCTACTTGCTAGGTGCCAATAGCATCCCTCCACTTGTGACAACCAAAATGTCCCCACACATTGCCAAATGTCCCCTGGCAAGGAGAGAGGGAGTAAAACTGCTACACCATAATCAGGTAAGGGTAACTGGTTTTTTAAAAAACTTAGCATTCACATTTATTATTAAGAAATATTAGCCCCTACAAAATAAGGACAAATGAAAATAAACAAGTGAATAAAGCAATCATTTAAACTATGAACTTTTACTATGAGATACCAGATAAAGTTTGAATTAACATTTGTATTAATCCAGAAAAGAAAATTTTTAGAATTCAAAATTAAGAAGAGGTTACCTGGTTGACTGCATTTGTCTTGTAGTTTCTGGATCTTCAAACATCTTCACAATTGGTTCTGTTTCTGCCTGAAGCTGTTTCAGTTGTGCAACAACTGTGGTTCTTTTTTCTCTCAAAGCTAATTCAAAATGTAGAAGAGTATATAATGTTAAGGAATGTTAAACTGTACTGTTCACCATGAGAATGTCTGGAAAATTTTCAATTTACTTAAACTATACATATATTTATTTACCACCAATATATTCACATGCCAAGAACCACCAATTCAGTAACTTCCCCATATCCACAATTTCTTCTAAACTGCAAAGGCACATAAAGTAAGAGGGAATACTCTTCCTACTATTAAGGGACACTGGAGAATAATATACATCCTGGGGTGTGGTTGGGGATACAAGAGAGAGAATAGGGAACTACCTGAAGAAGGGAAAACTCCAACTTACATATTTATATTCATTTCAGTACCTGTTCAATGTTTATCATGTGGTGTTTCATAAAAATAAAAGCACTGGACAACCCTTCCCCAAAGAAACAACTACACAGCTATCATTTAAGACTCCATTTCAGAGACTTCACTCCAAGTGTTTTTATATTTGTTCCCATTTAATTCTCTTAGGTGAGTATTATCCCAGAGTTTCTGAACAAAGGCTCAGAGCAGTTTACACTTTATTACTACGGGTTATCAACTAGGTTGAATGGAATTTAAATCCAGTCAATAATCTCTTTTAACTATAAATCCAGTTCTATAACATATCAATGCTTTCTTGAGAAACTAAGAAACAGTTTACTTTTTATTTACTCTTTTATCACAAATTCGAATTTAAAGAAGACCGCTGTTATTGCAGGAAACTATAAATCAAAAAGGTGATCATGTTTAATGTAATCATTTCCATGCTATATATTAGAAAGTATATCCTAGGATAGCATTCTCAAACACAGAAGGGGAGATCTATGATCAAACTCTGAGAAATGTCAATTTGAGCAGAGTAAACTGTATTTCTTTACTGCCAGAGTTCTTGGAAACTTTGAAAATGCTATGTGCATAAAATAAATGACATAGTAGTATTTCCTAAACTTATGAGACCACTTTTTTTTAACATCTATTACCACAGAAAACAAGGGTTTAGAAAACACTGCCTCAAAGTTCTCCAACTTGAATCATAAGCATTACTTTGATAATACATACTATGAACTGAAGGTATTTTACGACCAGGCTTTAAAGTATAAATAGTTTCACTTCTTTCACAGACAGAAAATAATATACTTTAGAAGATGTGTAACCTTTATATTACTTTTCACCCAAAGAACTTTAAAATCATTCAAATTAAGCTTTTGGCTAAAGCTCTTTTAATAAATTACAAAACTTTAATACACACATCCTCAGTTCCCAAGACAAACCTCAGTTCTAAGGATAAAACTTACCATGAGGAATATCATCAGAATAAAGGTTTTTGTATACATCCATAGCAAAGTCTACCATGTTGGTATCACTAAGAAGATCCAACTTCCCTTGTAACAATTCTTTTTCATTATATATCTGCAAGAGAAAATTACTTTCTAATGAATATATTTAAGTTGCCCAAATAAACTGAGTAAAACTAAGATTAGGAAACATATTTCATGAAATACTCCTTTTAATAAAATATTATAAACTATCATTTTTTCCAAAAAAATTACAAACTATTAATTCCCCCTCTTGTAACAAAAATGGCAAGCAATATAAGACAACCAACCTACAAGCATAAAAATATTTTACTTACCTAAACATTTAAAAATGAAGGCAATTATACAATATAAAGCCATTCCCACCTACTTCTGGTTTACACTGTCTTATTTTTTATGTGTCCCTATAAACCATCTCTTACCCTTTCTAAACAAGGCTGCATATACATAAATAAACAAACAAACAAAAATCACACAATCTCTACTCCAAAGCTCATATAGTATTAGTATTTCTCACACCCATACGCCAACCATCTCTCCTTGATGTGGCCTCTCCTTTACCCCCATACATTTTTCTCTCACTAAATAGTTAAAATCCTTTATAATGGTTCCTTATCCACATCTTTCAAACAAAACCAGTACCTATTTTTTAAATCAACTATTTCATAACAAGTTTTTGCTTTGCAAAGAGTTCAAGAAACATAATTTAAGCCACAGTACAGTGACCAAATAGATACAAACACAAACTCACATAAACATTAAGTGTGCTGAGCAACATGTAAGAATTTTACATAGCAATTTTCAGGGAGAGAGATGTTTCAGCAAAAGACAAGATTTTTATACTGAATTTAATTCTGCAAGGAAAGAAAAACCCAGAAAGATGTCACAATATTTCACTGTTCATAAGAAAAGATGAAGGTGGTCAAATGGTATAGTCATGAGAGCAAAACTGAACCTTCCAAACTACATACAGAACTCCTACAAAATAGTAAAAGACAATCCAGTTGAAATGGCTAAAAGATTAATAGGCACTTCACAAGAGGATAATCAGATGGCTGATAAATAAATGAAAAGGTTTCCAACTTCATTAATCATACAGAAAATGCTTATTAAAGCCACAATAAAAACTAAAAAGACTGACTGGCAATACCAGTGTTGGTGTGGATGTAGAGTAACAGGAAGACTCGTACTCTGCTGGCAGGAGCACAACCACTTTGGAAAGCAGTTTTTATCTCCTAAAGTCAAACACTTTTTGACTCATCAATTCTGCTCCTAGGTAGGTACTCAAAAGAAATGAGTGCATATATTCAATGTACCTTTCCAAAAATGTTCACAGCAGCACTATTTGTGATAGCCAAGTTTATCAATGTTAGAATGAATAAGGAAATTGCAGTATACTCATAAAATGGATTGACATACAGTACTAAAAAACTACTGCTATCCTAAAAACTTGGATGACTTTCACAATGTTGAATGAAAGAAGTCATACAAAGCAGTAGGACACGATGGTGAATGCTTAATTCCATTTACGTGAAAATAAAAAAAAAATAGGCAAAATGAATCAGACTAGAGAGCTTACTTTTGGGAGGTGAGCAATGTCTGAGAGGGATAAGAAAGAAGGTTTATTAAGATGTTGCAATGTTTTAGTAACTGAACCAGATTTTATCTCACTCCCCAAAATCCCTACTGCCTTTCGTGGTAGTCACAAAAACATGCTCACTGTTCACTTTGAAAAAAAAGTCACTGATCAGTATATTTATATTAGTGTACTTTTATGAATGAATGTTATACCTGATAAAAATTTTATACTTGAAAAATCTTAACTTCCAGTCAGTTTGTCCTATAGAAACTCAATCTTAAATGAAAACATCATTTTCCTAGCATGCCATCTCTCCTCAGCACCCCACTAACAGCTTTTAATATGCCATGTCCCTCCCCACAGAAGACTGAAGAGCATAGCTCCTCTGCCATCAGACCTTACTGGCCTGTTCTTAATTTTATACCTGCCTCTCAATTCAACCTCTTAATTCTGCCTCATAGGTAAAAAAGGGCAGAAAGCAAAAACTTTAAACTTTGTGAAGCAAAAATTGAAGATACTGCATAAGTACTTACATGACAAGAGAAAAACAAATTTCCACAATTTTTAAAAAACTTTTGAAATAAAAAAGATAATGCTAATGGAGTAAAATTTTTTGTAATACAGGTCTACTAATGACAACAGAATTATTTTGGGGAGGAAATATTTTACTCATTTGTGGTATAAAGTTAATGTTCTATAATTACAAATGTTCATATGTTAAAAACTATTCTTAGCTCACAAACCATACAAAAACAGGCTGCTTTGGTTTGCTGATCCTAGACTATCAACCTCTTAAAAACAGCTTGTACTTTTTAACAGATTAAGAATCTTCTTTTGCCATCTCTTCCTCTGCTGTCATCCTTCACAAATACCCTATATTGATGATTCTTTAAAAGCTCATGCCTTAAAATTCTTTTATCCCACTAATTATAACAACTTTCATCCAATATCTTATCTCTAAGAATTCCAACATAAATTTATCACCCCTTCCACCATTATCATTAAAATGCTACCTTATTCTCATCAGACCTTCTGCCCTTTCCAATTTTTAAACACTTATTTGGTGTCACTTTCTACCTTACTTTGGATATCATTATTAACTATTTCAAAGATGTTCTCTTTAACTCTGTCATTGATTCCTTTGGTCTATTTTCTCCAACCACATACAATTCAATGTTTAGCTCTGGGAAAAAGTCATCTATTTTCTAGGTTCTGGCTAAGAACAACTAGAAAATGTCACAAAACTAGGCAATGTTATTCAATCACATTTCTGCTTTTCTTTGATCAGTAAACCTTTTCATTAGTATCTAAATGACACTTATCTACAAGCCCACCCCCAAACATTTCTATACTACTCCAATAACCTTTCACTGCTCCCCTTACTCTGAGAATGATCATCATTATTAGCTCTATAATATATGATTTCCAATCTCATTTGGGCCCTCCACTCTTACTGAGCCTTGTACTTGTCTTTGATCAGTTTTCACCATTTCCAGTTCTTACCTCACTCTCTGAAACCCCCACTGCCTCTTCCTCCCCATACAGGATGGCCTAGCCCCCTACAGAAAACATTCAGGAGTACTCACTCTGTCTCAGAAGAGGTTAAGTGCTTTATATACATTATTTCATGGAATTTTCCTAACAACCCCATGAGATTAGTGGTAGTGTCAACATCTTATTCCTAAGAAAAGGGTTAGTTAAGAGGTTAAAGGAATCTGATCTCAAGTACACAGAGGTATTAAATGACAGAGCCAGGAGCCCAATCCAGGTTTAAATTCACAGCCCAGGGTCCTGAATGCTATACTATCTGGCCTTCCACTTCACATAATAAAGTACAGTGAGACACAAGTATGTATTCAATCATTCACTGAATTATAAAAAGCTTTTGTGCCAGACTCTATTTTGTGTGCTGAGAACACAGTAGAGAACAAAACTCCTGCTCTCATGGAGGTTATATTCTGATGCACTACAAGTATATTAAATTGTTATTCTTTTACTGCAATATAGTAATTCCCTCTTATTCACAGGCAAAACATTCCAAGACCCCAGGAGATGCCTGGAATCCCAGACAGTACCAAACTCTACTTATACTGTTTTTTTTCCATATATACATACCTATGTAAATTTTAATTTATAAATTAGGCACAGTTAGAGATTAACAACAATAATAGAAAAATTGAGTAAAATAAAGGTTACTTGAACACAAGCACTTTGATACCAAGACAGGAGATCTGATAACCCAGACAACTAATGGACTAATGGACAGGTAGTATACACAGTGGGAAGAATACACAGAGTGGAAACTTTGGTTAAAGGGATGGTTCACAACTGATGGAGCGAGAAGACAAGAGATTTCATCCTACTACTCAGAACAATGTAAAATTTAAAACTTATGAATTGCTTATTTCTGGAATTTTCCATTTAGTATTTTCAGACCTCAATTGACCACAAGTAATTGAAACTTTGGAAATCAAAACCATGGATAAGGGGGGACTGCTATACCCTCATGTATCACAAGCACTGACTATTCTAACCATGGAGACTTCAAGACTCAAAGCCTTTCCTACTCAAACTCCATTTTCCTCACTGAACAGAATTTCCTCAATTTTGATAATACTCAATACCTCTCTGAAATTTATTTCTTTTTGCCTTCTATCAAAGACATTCAACTCTAAACGACAGGTAAGATTTTTAGTGCTGAGAAGTGTGGGTTTTATCTTGGATTTCTCACAATTCCATGGCCCTACACAGGTGACCCCTGAGCAACATGAGTTTGAACTACTTGGCTCCACTTATACAGACTTCCAGTAAAAGTTATACTGAGTGTGCCTGCCTCTGCTTCCACCTCCTCCACCTGTTACCTTTCAGACAGCAGACCAACCCCTCCTCTTCCTCCTCCTCAGTCTATTCAACATGAAGATGACCACAATGAAGATATTTATTATAATCCACTTTAACTTAATGAATGGTAAATATATTTTCTCTTCCTAAGAATTTTCTTAATAACTTTCTTTTCCCTAGCTTAGTTTATTGTAAGAATTATAGTATATAATACATATAACATAAAATATGTGTCTTAGTCAATAGTAGGCTATTAGTAAAGTTTTGGGGGAGTTAGAAGTCATATGTGGATTTTTGACTGCGTGGGGATTGGTTCCCATAACTCCCCAGTTGTTCAAGGGTCAAACTGGACTTAGTAATTGCTAAATAAATACTCCAGCATCTGTCTTCCTCTTGGTGCATAACAGCCATCTTACCAACATTTTCTCCAAGGAGACAGATATTAGGTGATTATTTTCCACTGATTCTCAACAGCAGTTCATAGTTTTGGTCTTGCCCTATGAAAAACAAATTTACACTTACATATTCTTCCCTTCTGTCTGCCTTGAAAAATCAAACTGTAAAGAATACAAAAATATTAACTTCAGAAGCATTTCTACAAGGAACTGGTAAAGGATTTCAAAATATGGTACTTTTCTTTTTCTTTGATCTTTAGTGAATTATCCTCACTTATCCAGAAAAGGAAACAAGACAGACTGGATCATTTAAGTTCTAAAATATAGGTATTAAAAAAAATCAAGGAAAAAATATATCTTTTGAAAATAGAAGTTTTATATTGCAAGACATTCTTGGACATTTATTGAAAATGAACTTTTCTGTTGCCTAACATCAACAAGTTTAGAGTTGTCTACATGTGTTTAGAAAAGGTTGATGATTATGAGGGTTATACCTGTGATGAACCAAAACTGCCTCGAAGTTTTGAAAGTTATTAGAACAAATTAATGTACATTTGTAGGACTTTTCTGTTTTATTGCTGTTGGGTCATGCAAAATCCATTCCTCAAAACTAGAGTTCTCTAGATAGACTTGTCATCTGCTTCCAGAAACAGAACTCATTTATTTTTCCGGCCAAAATTCTATTTCCTTCACCTAGCAATATTACTTTGCTATAATTATTAAAATATATCAATTTTCCAATAAACTCAAGATATAACTAATCTCAGTATTCTTTAAACCCAATCTTTCTTTTAAGCCCAATAAAACTCTAGAACTGAATCACATGCTTTGAAAGACATGCTTTAAAACGAAGTTCCAGAACTTCATATTTATTCACAGTATTTTGAGTAAACAACTGAACGTTAATGACCAATTCAAATCACAAGTCTGTACATTACACAATGGAAAACAAATTTTAAGTTAAATACTGTGGGATTTTTTTGGAGGGTCCCCGCCCCCATCTGACGAAATAATACCACTGTTCTAGGAAGTGGCTACTTATCAAAGGCAAGCAAAACTCAACGCCAAGAACTCACAATTACAGGGATTTTAAAGTGGTAGGTATTTCTTGTAATTGAAAGAAAATCAGTCCAAACGACCCGGCATGCAAAAACCCATAACCGAGCCCACCCTTCCCGCAGCTCCCAAAAGAAAAATCAAAAGCTCTAACACCACTCAAAGCTGCTTTTTAGAAGCCGGCCTGAAGTGAAGCTCTAGCGTTACTCCAGCGCAGCCAGGGAGTCAACTTCCGAGAGGAACTGACGCGAGCGGCCCCCGGGTTCTGGCATCTCAGTGAGTGAAGCAGAGACGTCTTTCTCTCCTGATTTCATACCATGACTTCACTCTTCCTCACCACCAAATTCTGCGGTATTATCAACTGGGACCACGCTAAACTACAAGCAGGTCCTTACTGTCTGGTCAGGAACCATGCTCCCGACGGCCTCACCCATGTGCCAGGCCTATCGCAGCAAGCGCCGCATTCCGGCCTTGCCCAACACCTCCCCCGCGCCCACGCCCTCCTCGCGCTCAAAGACCCCCTCACCTCCTTTACGGACAGAAACTCAAGGAGCGGAAAGACCAGGTGCCGATCCAAAAAGTGCGCGATGCGAGTAGTCAAGTCGTACTCCGCCATCTTGCCAAAGAAAAAGAAAGTCTGTGCTCACTAAAACTTTATTGATACCGCCAACAAACAGACAGACCCCTATCGCGCATGCGCAATGATTAAACCGGCCTAGGGAAAGGGGCGGGGTTCAGCCCGGGGCGCACAGAGAACACTGGCGCATGCGCGCGGGTCCTCCCTGCCTCTGGGCGACTCTGGGTTGGGGCGTGAGCTGCAGGCGCAGTTTCTTCAGTTTGTAAGTTTGTCGGTATCTTGTTTATACTGTTGGCCTACGATCTACCAATCAGTGGCCTGTAATCCATTCCATTAATAAGTATTGAAGGCTCAGAATTGATTGCTGACCCAGGGTCGACAGCATTGCGATGCACGGAAAGACAAGAGGCCCTGCTTAGGTGGAATATCTGAGCTTTCCTTTGGCATACAATAATCGTTTTGTAAGCATTTGTTAAATTAAAGTGAGGATGGGTTTCTAGACAGAAAACAAGTGAAAAGATTTCAGATCCTAGTAACAGCCATAATTTGGTGGGGTTAGTTGTATTGGGCCTATTTAATTAGGCAAGAGAAAACAGATGGGAATTAGGATGATTAGAGAAAGTTCAGATGGGAATTAAGGTGGTTAGAGAAAACTATGATAGGGTAACAATTTAACTGAGAATTGTAGTAAGAGAAAAAGGTGACTAAAATTGGAGCAAGGGTAGAAACATGTCTGTTGGAAGGTGCAGCAAACACGAGAGCCATGAGACAAGAAAAGACTTGGTGTGTTTCAAAACTGAATGTTCTGTATGACTGGAAACTGAAATAAACAGGTTGTGAGAAGGGCCAGGTCATGACTGTAGTACGAAATATTGATTTTTTTCTTACGTGCTCTGAAGGCTCTTTTGCTAGTTCTCTTGTTTTGGCCTTTTCGTTTTGGAGTTCCTCACGGGCCTTGGACCTCTTCTCCATCTAGACCAATACCCTAAATGATAACATCCAGTCTAATGTGTAATTAGACAATGTATACATTGACAACTGCCAAATTACAGTCGTCGTACTGTCAGTTCCAGACTCATGTGTACCCACATTTCAACATAAGCTTGTCCCAAACCAAACCCACACATAGCTTGCCAAGACCCATTCCATCTGGGTTCTTGTTCTTCACCTCAGTGAATGGCAAATTCATCTGTATGGTTGCTCAGACCCAAAACCTCAGAATCATCCTTGCCTTCTCATTATCTTACACTCTACATCAAATCTATCAACAAACCCTTTAGCTCTAACTTTTAAGGCTCATTCAGATGCAGTCAGTTCACACCACCTCCAAAGTTACATCCCTAGTCTAAACCACCATTATCTCATTTTGATTTTTGGAATAGCCTTTTCACTAATCACCTTGATTCCCCTCTTTTCCTCCTATGCTTTTTTTTCTTTATGTAGCAGCCAGAGTGACTTTTTATTTTCAAAACAAAGTCTCACTCTGTCACCCAAGGTAGAGTGTAGTGGTGAAATCATAGCTCACAGCAACCTCAAACTCCTGGGCTCAGGTGATCCTCCTGCCTCTGCCTCCCTAGTAGCTGGGACAACAGTCATGTGCCACCACACCTGGTTACTTTTTCTATTTTTTGTAGAGAAGGGGCCTCACTATTTTGCTCAAGCTGGTCTTTAACTCCTGGCCTCAAGAAATACTCCTGCCTAGGCTTCCCAAAGTGCTAGGATTATAGGCTTGAGTCACCACGCCCTGCTCAGAGTGACTTTTTTTTAAAAGTCAGATTATACTTAAAACCCTCCAAGCCTTCCTATTTCATTCAGAGTCAAAGACACGGGTATTATAATGACCTAAAAAGTCCTAGATTATCTGTACCCATTACCTGTCTGACCTCATCTCCTAAATCTCCCTCTCTTGCTCACTTGACCCCAGCCACACAGATTTTCTTTCTGTTCCTCAGGTACTCCCATAGTGTTCCCATCTTGGCCTCTTGTATTTGCTTTTCCCTCTACCGAGAATTTCTTAACCCAGTTATCTCCATGGCTCTTTTCCTCTTTCTTTCATGTTTTGCTCAGATGTCATCTGCCTAATGAGACCTTCCCTGATCAGTCTATTTAAAAATGTAATTCACCTGCCTATAAGATTTCTCATCTCCCTTTCCTGCTTTACATTTTCACCATGTTTTACATATTTGTTTATTGTCAGTCTCCCTTGACTATCATATTGTTCTGCAAGACCAGGGGGGTTTTGTCTATTTTTTTATAACTGCTTCTCTAGAGTATAAACAATGCCTAGCATATAGTTGCTACTCAATAAATATGTTGGAATAAGTAAATGAATGAAAGAAGGAAGGTAGGCTTTTACTTTTCAGAGTGATATAAAGATTTTCTCATAATTTGAACTTATTCTGGCTATTGTGTGGCAATAGATTGTGAAGTAGCAGGAGTGAAAGCAGCTGCATCAGTTTGATGTTCTTGAGGGCTGGGTGAGGGCTAATGGTAGTTTGGACAAGCATATAGAGAAGACTCAAGATGTACTTTGGTGGGAGAACTGACAATACTTGCTCTTGGATTGGATGTGATAGATAAAGAAATGTAAAAATCAAGGTGGGGTGGAAAAAGGAAAAATGAGTAAATATCAAAATAATTTCTAGAAATACTTCTCAGCAGTATAAAAGGAACTAGGTATACACACAACAACCTGGATGAATTTCTAGAGAATTATGGTAAGTGAAAAAGTTAATTCCCAAAGGTTACACACTTACTGATTTATATATATATATATATATACACACACACACACACACACACACACACATATAAAATATTCTTAAAATGACAAAATTATAAAAATATTGGAGAATGGATTAGTGGTTGCCAGGGGCTAAGGAGGTATGGGGGTGGGAGGGAAGTGAGAGTAACTATAAAAGGCCACAGCAAAGATTCTTGTGGTAATGGAATGTTCAGGATCTTGACTATGTCATTATCCTGGTTGTGCTATTATACTACAGTTTATGTTTTGTTTTCAACAGCTTTATTCACATACCATACAATCCACCCATTAAAGTGCATAGTTCAGTGGGGTTTTTTAAAAGTATATTCACAGATATGTGCAACCATCAGCACAATTTTAGAACATTTTCATCACTTCAAAAAGAAGTTTGTACCCTTTTGTTATATCATTCCCCTATCCTACCATTCTCTCTGCTGCGTCCTAAGCAACCACTTTCTGTCTGTATAGATTTCCCTATTTAGGATGCTTATATGAATGGAATCATACAATATGTGGTCTTTTTGTGTCTTTTTCCCCCCTTTGCATAATGATTTCAAGGTTCATCCAAATTGTAGCAATACTGCATTACCTTTTATGGCCAAATGCTATTCTATTGTATCAATATACCACATATTTACACATTAATCTGTTAATAGACATTTGTGTAGATTCCACCTTTTGGCAATTAGGAACAATGGTGCTGTGAGCATTGGTGTACAAGTTTTTGTGTGGACATATGTTTTCAGTTTTTTGGGTATATATGTAGGAGTGGAATTGTGGAGTTAGATGGCAACTCTTTGTTTAATCACTTGAGGAACTGCCAGATGGTACTATAGTTTTGCAGGATGTTACCATTGGGAGAAACTGGGTAGAGAGCATTTGGGATCTCCCTGTATTATTTCTTAAAACTGCATGTGAATCTACTATCTCAAAATTTAAACATTTAGTTTAAAAATAATGAATCCTAGACTTTGGGCTTAAGAAACTGAGTGCCTTCTGGTGACCAGTAAACAGGGGGAAAATGGCAGAGGAATATGTTTCCATGCTTAAACTTGTATGGCCTCTAAGACTTAAGAAATGACAGTTGTAATTTAAAGTTTCCTAGAAGTCTGGGGACTAAAGTTGTGATCAAATATGGACAGGAAAAGAGGAAGTTTTTAAAGAAATAAATAGTGAGAACCCAGGCTCCCAGCCGTAAGGTAGGGCATAGGAATGAAGGAAGCAGGTAGCAGTATGGAATTTTGCCAAAAAGGAACAGAGAGCATTCCTGAGAAGCAGAGAAAAATAAGATGCAATTGTATTTGACAAACATTTTGAACTTTTACCATATGCAAGGTACTAAGCTAGGTGTTACTTGGAATATATACTCAAGAACACCTAGTCCCTGGCCACAGGAGCTTCAGTCTAATAAGAGACAATTATTCATTCAATGTAAATTAAATGTTTACAATATGCTAAGCACTGTTGTAGGTCCTGGGAATACAGCAGTAAAGAAAACAAACAACATTCTCTAAAGAAACTTATAACACTCGGTAAGTAGGCTGCAGTAAAAAAAAAAAAAAAAGAAGCTTAAATTACAGAGAAAAAAGACAGCTAAAAACATATTAACAACTATATACTTTACTAGGTGGTGATAGGGCCTGTGAAGAAAAGTAACTCAAGGGAAATGTTAGAGAATGATGAGGAAAGGTTGCTTATGTATATATATATAAAGTAGTTAGAGATGTTCTGTGATAGGTAGAATTTAAAAAGAAGCCTGAAGGATGTGAGAGAGCCTGTGACTGTCTCGAGGAGAAACATTCCAGGTGAAGGAACATTAAGCATAAAGATACTGAAGCAGAAGTGTGCTAGGGATGCTAGAGCTGACTAAATCAGAGTAAGTGTGGTGGAAAATGAGTGCAGAGGGACAGTGGTGGGCTAGATGACATCATGCTTTGTAGGCTCTGGTAAGGACTTTGGTTGTATTCTGAATGAGATGGGAAGCTCTTGCAAGGTTTTGAGCAGAGAAGTTACATAATCAGAGTTATGCTCTTAAAAGGCCACTTTGAGGGTTAGGGGTGCTTGGGCAAGCATATACATAGATCAATTAAGACACTATTGAAATAAATCAGGCAAGAGGTGATGGTGGCTTAGACCAAAGTGGTAGCAGTAAAAGTGTGTGAACGTAGTAAATTCTGAATGTATTTTGAGTGCAGGGCTAGCAAAATTTGCCAATGGATTGGATGAGAAAGAGGGGTCAAAGATAATTCTAAGATCTAAAACTGCTGAGAGGCCATTTACTAAGATGAGGAAGAGTATGATAGATGCAAGTGTTAGGGAAGAGGGAAATCAAGAGTTTAGTTTTGGACATTATGTTTGGGATGCCTATTTGACATCCAAGTAGAGTATCTAGAATCAGGGGAAATGTCAGAGCTGGAGATAGAAAATTAGATCTTGTTAACGTCTTGATGAAATTGAAAAAACCATGGAGCTGGATGAAATCTGAGAGTGTTTGGAAA